CGAATACATGTATGTATGTATATACAGGGTGTTTTTTTATATATTGACACCTCACCTGCAGCCTTTACCTTTACAAGTAGAGGAAAGCTATAAATACAAAAGTTGTACAGTTTTGGCTAAATTTTCGGAAACCATGGTCAGAAACAAAAATTGAATGTCAGAAATGTGAAATTTTGCATGCTTTCAGCTTTTTTCAAATGGGATGCGCAATATTTGGTTATATATTCTTGAAAAGCACAATTTCCTGATTCCAAAACTATATAGTCTGTCTGTATTTGGTTGAGCCGTTTCCAACAATTTGGTTCTAGAAATTTTGAAAATACTATCAGAGAAACCAAGTATCTCAAATTTTACCTATAGATTTCAGCTGTACAGGTAGAACGGTTCACAAAATCAGTAGTAGGATAGTATTTTTACAATTTTTGGAGCCGAATATATAAGAGATTGCTCAATCAAATATAGATCGGCGCCTTGTGCTCTTCAAGAATATAGAATGAAATATAAGTCATCGCATTTGAAAAAAGCTGGAAGCATTACATACAAATAAGTGGATCATTGCGGAACTTATGGGTGGCCATCTACTCTACCAATATACTGTTGAACTGTTCAAATAAGACATTCACCTGAAACGTGTAGTTTTTGAGCTAATGAGAAAAATTCACAACTGAGTGAATCAGGTAAGTATTGTACTTGAACAACATATTGGTGAATAGACAGTGGCGCACCCAAGGGGGGGTTTTGGGGGTTAAACCCCCCCCCCCCCGAAATTTAGCACTGGTACAAAGAATTTTCCGGTGAAATTTTTTTTTTGCGATTTTGGTTAATAGGTAGGTACCTACAAATTTTCCATTTTACATTTAAAAAAAAGCCTATTTACGTTACGCGAAATTACTGAAATCTGGAATCGAAACCAAGAACATGGAAATCTGGCAACCTGGGCCCTACATCGTACATCGCGATGGCATGTTATATTGACAGTTGACTAGTTGAGTTGTAAAGGGCGCTACTGTACTTGGAGCTCTTCAAATTTTGGCGCGTAAATAATCCAGTGTAATTTAAACATCAAAGGCGTTTTCTCGCGTCTCAAATGTTTCAAAACATTTTTCAAAACTGGCTTAAGTAATGTCTCTATGACGTCATAATTTCTCGGTGCGAGAAAATGGTTTGAAAACGTGGATTGGACTGTATTTCGAAACGGTTTCAACCAATTTTGACGTGACGTCATGAGTTTATCGCGAGAATGTACACTTGGCCAATCATAAAACTAGTACGCCTTCTCTTATTATGTGGTATTGTGTAAATCGACCTTTCCTATCACTTCAAAACTGACAAAAAGAGTCAAGTACCAGTGTCATATTTAAACCAATCATAACTCTGATCATAACATAAAAACATTTTGCGTTTACTTTTGTTCAGTTTTGACATTGACAAAAATTATCGACCTATGGTCTATTTTTTTCCAAGATAGATTTTGGCATTGTAAACTTTGAAACATAAACAATGCCGCTTATTGGTCGCTATTGTTAAACTGATGTCAACCTGCAGAAATACCTCATTTTGCGACCAATCGGGGTCAAGCGTTATTGTTTATGTTTCAAAGTTTTCAATGTCAAAATCTATCTTGGGAAAAAATAAAGTACCTATAGGTTTTTCAGAAGAGACTTTTTGTTGTTAAGCCTGACTCACATTGGGCAAATTTAGAAAATATACATTGCCTGTACCAGTTGTATGTTTGGCCAAGTGTACTGTTTCAAAACAGTTTTGAACCAGTTTCAAAAAAGTGGACGCGAGAAAACGTCTCAAAAGTTTAGTTTGACGTGTGGTTTCAAGACAAGCTGACGCTGACACTATTAAAAATATTCGCTAAAGCTAAGTCCTCATAATCGCGAATTGCGATCTTTTTTTCTGCGGATTTGTTCCTATTGGTTAAAATTATTTGAAATTATAATGGCGGGAAAATCTCGCGAATGTTTTCAACTTCTTGCGGCATCGCAAAAAAGTTAAAATAATTTAAATTTTCGACGAATGATCTAGGAAGTGAGGTTATGCAAGTTTATTCACCAAAAAGTTAAAATTATTTCAACTTTTTTGCGATGCCGCAAGAAGTTGAAAACATTCGCGAGATTTTCTTGCCCTTATAATTTCAAATAATTTGGACCAATAGGAAAAATTCAGCGGAAAAAAAGTTCGCAATTCGCGATTATGAGGACTTAGCTTAAGGGCTACTGAACGTTTTGGAAGACATTTTAACTTATTCACTGTCCATTGTTAGTATTTAGTCATCTTTCCTTCTACCACAGTTCTTCTACTCAGTTAAACTGTTTAAAACCATTGACATTTACCGCCAAAATTGAAAGCACTCCAGTTCACTCGCGCCCTCTACAAAATTTTGGGGAACTTACTGGATATTTGTTGCCATTCGCGGTCATGGTAAAGGTGTATTTCCACCAAACTCGCAAAACGATTGCAAATTTGCGAATGATCAGCAATGTTTGTGATTTGTGAACATTATTTGATGGAAATCACCTATAAAAAGTTATTTTTCGAAGGCTTAAAATAAACACCCGAAAAAAAATTCTTCTTATAGCGGCCGGCCTACGGCAGCGCCTGTCATAATGACAAGGTGTCATTATGAAACCCCCCCCCCCCAAATGAAAAACCTGGGTGCGCCACTGGAATAGATGGCTGAGTCCACCCATAAGTTCCTCCACTCGTTTGTACTTGAATAACTTGTCACATGATATTACTAGTTTGGTAAAGTAACATTACTAATTCCTGTTAATAGGCAAATTGACAAAAAGTGGATAATCTTACAAATTCTGACTTTATATAAGTTATTATTCAAGTACAAATAAGTGGTATTGCGGAACTTATAGGTGGTCCTCTGTGGGACGAGCACAGCGAGTTCCGCAGCCATCTACTCACCAGTTTACTGTTGAACTATTCAAATAAGACACTCACCTGAAACGTATAGTTTTTGAACTAATGAGAATAACTGACATTTGAATGAATCAGGTTAGTATCGTACTTGAACAACATATTAATGAATAGATGAGCGGTCCAAGGTCCACTTATAAGTGCCGCAACAATCCACTCGTTTGTACTTGAATAACTTGTCACATTATATTACTATTTTGGTAAAGTAACATTACTAATTCCTGTTAAAAGGCAAATTGACAAAAAGTGGATAATCTTACAAATTCTGACTTTATATAATAAGTTATTGTTCAAGTACAGGGTGTTTTTTTTTTCATATATTGACACCCCGCCTACAGCCTTTACCTTTACAAGTACCTAGATGAAAGGTGTAAATACGAAAGTTGTACAGTATTGGCTAAATTTTCAAAATCCATGGTCAGAAACAAAAATTGAATGTCAGAAATGTGACATTTTGCATGCTTTCAGCTTTTTTCAAATGGGATGCCCTATATTTGGTTCTATATTCTTGAAGAGCACATTTTCCCGATTCCAAAACTAGTTTGTCTGTATTTGGTTGAGCCGTCCCCAACATATTTGATTCTAAAAATTTTTAAAATACTATCAGAGAAACCAAGTACCTCAAATTTTACCTATAGCTTTCACCTGTACAGGTAGAATGGTTCACAAAATCAGTAGTATTTTTACAATTTTTGGAGCTGAATATATGAGAGACTGTTCAATTAAATATAGACATACTATATATTTTTGAAATCGGGGTATTGTGCTCTTCAAGAATATAGACTGAAATATAGAGCATCCCGTTTGAAAAAAGCTGGAAGCATGCAAAATTTCACATTTCTGACATTCAAACTTTGTTTCTGACCATGGTTTCTAAAAATTCAGTCAAAACTGTACAATTTTTGTATTTACACCGTTCTTCTATTTGTAAAGGTAAAAAATATATAAAAAAACACCCTATATACTCTAGAAACTCGGTCAATACGGAGTATGAACGTGCGTACCTCGGATAATCAGGATTTTTGGGTTTTTAGACTGGCTCGGTTAATCCAGAGCTCGGATAATTGCGACTCGGATAATCGGGGTTCTATACTGTATATGATTTCTGTTTTGATATTTGATAAATTATGTTCTACAGAGAGAAATTTTTAAAAAATTATCAATAATTAAGGACCCAAATAGAATCTTTCTACAGAAAATTGCAGATCTCCTAACATGGAATCACAAATTTGCTCACAGTTTCCGTAATTTCCAATGAATCAGCTTCTATTGTAGGTTGTCTGAAAGAGGATTAAATGCTCTATAAATCCTCCGAGAACGGATATAGTTGCTTCTTTAGAGTCTGAGAGATTGAGCTTCATTCAAATTTGAAACTTTTCCAAAATTTTCTCCAAAACTTCAACTTCAAATTACTCAAGAACCATAAGTGGTACAAATATTTATCCAGTGAGGCATACAAATTGAAAATTTTGAATAAAAAATCCGAAAGCTTAAAATGAAAATCACTATACCTATCCTGAAAAATTGTTCTTTTCTAATTCAAAACTTTGCACTAATTTCCAAGAGTATCTAGCTACGGCTTTTATTCTAAAACACCATCTGCCATCATCAGCATTTCTTACAATTTTTGCGGCATTCAAAAATAAATAAGCATGTCTTCTTAATTATAAAGTCTACCTACTTCAAACAACCGAGTAGTAGTGGTTCAACTAAGCACGGTTTCTGGGTCAATGGTACTTCAAGTGTTACGGATTTAAAACCTTTTCTCTTTAAATAGAGGGGCGCGCTCTATTCTTTAAGAAAACCGAATTTTTATCATCGATAAAGATCAAAAATACATAATATAAAATTTGCTGATAGAAATTTTCATATTTTAACTTCTGAGAGGACGTCAGCAAAGGCCAAAAACGAATGTAACCTTTTCAACTCAAACATCGAAATATATTTTTGAACGAAAACTTGACGTTGCCGTGTGTATAATAATAATTCGACGAAAAAGGGCTTTCAAAGTTTAATGCGCCTAGCTTTTCCATGCATATAATATTATATAGAATCTTTTTAAGGACTTTTCTATACTGCAGAAGTGAGGTCTTGTTAAGTTTGAGTTTCGAAAATTTACATGAGAAAGGAAACGAGAATCAAGCGAATAGTTTTTTCTTGATTAAGTTGGGAAACACAATCTGTTTAATAACAGAGAAGCTATTTTTGTAAAACGTGAAGGATTTATAAAAGATATAGCAGAAATCTCAAACAATAAATTGTTACGACTCCTTTTTTGGGTAATCAACAAAGTATATAACATGGTCCTGAAAAAAACAGTTACAGATCACTTCTTTACTCTAATTTTGCCTCTAGGCAATACAAATGCAAACTAACTTCCTTCAACTTCTACCTTTTATAGGTACCTATCCACTAAAATTATTGATTCAAACACGCATGTAAAAGTAATATTTCCAATTCCTTCTTTTCCAGTTCCTAAATATGGCCAGCGTTTTCATGCGGATATTCAACCTTATCTGTATGATGCTACTAATTGGCCATTGGTCCGGATGTTTGCAATTCTTGGTTCCCATGTTGCAAGGGTTCCCAGCCAATTCTTGGGTGGCCATTAACGAATTACAGGTACCACAATTTTAATACTTCTAGCAAAAGTGCTTTATTGAATTATTCTTTTCAGGAATCGTACTGGTTGGAACAATATTCATGGGCCCTCTTCAAAGCAATGTCCCATATGCTGTGTATAGGATACGGAAGATTCCCACCTCAATCTTTAACCGATATGTGGCTTACCATGTTATCGATGATATCTGGAGCGACTTGTTACGCTCTTTTCCTGGGTCACGCCACCAATCTGATCCAGAGTTTAGATTCGTCAAGGAGGCAATATCGAGAAAAGGTATACTTCAAATATTAATTGAAAATTTTGTAAACACTTTTGATATTGAACCAATCAAGTTGCTAACTTTTTTAATTTTCCTCTGATATTGACACTTTAATTTTCCACTGAATAATGAAGTTTAATAAAGATTTAACTCTATATTTGATTTTATAATGAGAAATGTTTATTAATTAATTTAATTATTGATAAATTTCCTCAGGTTAAACAAGTAGAAGAATATATGGCCTACCGGAAGTTACCGAGAGAAATGCGACAAAGAATCACCGAATATTTCGAGCACCGTTACCAAGGGAAATTTTTCGACGAAGATATCATTTTGGGAGAATTATCGGAAAAACTTCGAGAAGACGTTATCAACTACAACTGTCGCTCGCTGGTGGCGTCTGTGCCTTTTTTCGCAAACGCAGATTCGAATTTCGTATCGGACGTCGTTACCAAATTAAAATATGAAGTCTTCCAACCAGGTGAGACTTTTTCGAATTATTATTGTTTGAAAATATTTCCATTCAGCTAAAATCCAAACCTTATCTAAATAATTTGAACAACTATAAACGCCATCTGCTTCTTAGTTTCCTACTGAACGTAAATCCAACCCTAGTAATGGTTGCTTTGTAAAGATTCTTCTTATAGATTGAATAAGAGCACCCTATCCTTATCACACCAAAGGAAAGGTGCTAAGTTTTTCTCAAGACAACATCGCAGGTTTTCACGAGCTGAAGTTGACTTGCAGAATGCTTCAGACAACTTTCAGTACCTATATAGGGTTTAAATTTCATGTCAAACTGTAGACGAGGTTGGTGGATTAACTCCTCCATTTTCATAACATGCCTATAACATATGAGCTGTCGGGTGTCCATTCTTCCTGCTTCTATTTATATATTCTTCCTTCTTCGAATTTCAGCATTCTGTATATGCTCCAGTCTTGAAACTCTACATTCCTGTTTGAAAAAGTCTGTTTCCACTGCATCGACCTTCCTTTTGTTTCGTTCCGATAACTGCCAGCATTCAGCTCCGTACGTATCTATCGGCTCTACGATTGCTCCATAGATTGTCTTTTTTGTTTTTGTAGAAATCTGACTACTCCAGAGTAATTCAGAATAATAACGTATTTTTCACCTTGTGTTACTCTGTTATTCATATCTCGCTGTGATGTTCTTCTTGTTGATATCAACCTTCCCAAGTATTTATACTCCTCACACCTTTTCAGATCTCTCAAGCTAAGATCCGGGTTTGCATTATCATCACCAATAAAAGACATTCTGTTTTGTTTTGATTTATTTTCATTCCCCACTGTTCATATTCGTCCTCAAGTTTTCTTTACATGTAATCTAGGCCCTCTTCACAGCTAGCTATTACTACTTGATCGTCTGCAAAGAATAGTGTGGACAAGTAATGTTCTCCCACTTCTATTCCCATACCAGCAGAGCACTTAATTCTCCAGTTTTTCAAGGCCTCCTGGATGTATATCTTGAACAGTGTGGGTGAAACACAGCTATTTTGCTCTAGTCCTTCCGTAACTTTAAGACTTTTTGAAGCTTGATTTCCTACTTTTAGTATACTCTGCGGGTTTCTATAAATGTTAATTACCAATGACTATTGTGTATTCTTTACTGAACTTCCATAGGTTTTTTCAATAGTACTATATTGAAGGCCCTCTCGAGGTCTACAAATAAATATAAGGTATGTGGACAGGTTTCGAGATTTCTTTTTTCTATGATTTGCTGGAATATGAAAGTGCCATCCATGCATGAACGTCCCGCACGAAAGCCATTTTGCTCTTCTATGTCCGAAAATTCTATTCCAATTCTTCTTTTTAAAATACGGCCGTACAACCTTCTCAAAGAACATGACACACTTATTCCTTTATAGTTTCCACAATTTTTTCGATCTCCTATTTTGTGGATGGAGCTTATGTGCGAGATATTCCAGTCTGCAGGTATAGTGTACCCTCTTGGTAACAAATGGTTGGATATATCTGCTACAACTTCCATCATGATCTCTGGCGCACATTTGAATAGCTCGATAGGAATTTTTCTTATCCCTGCAGCCTTTCCATTTTTTATATCTTGTACATTTGTTCTAACCTCATGCGCCATTGTGGGTTCCACATAATTTACTCCATCTTAGACTTTTCGCTGTTCCGCTTGGATTTGTTGGAGAATATATGATCAGCCTGCTGTAATTGAAACTAATTTTGCAGCTTCTCAGTGCTTCTTCAAATTTTCACTGCATTACTAAGTTGTCATATTATTTCCCTAGAATCTGGAAACATGGTTCGAGAAAATTCTGGGAGATTGAGCAAAATCCTAACGCATCTCATCAATTTCCAGAGGATATGGAGTACCTACCCACGAAGAAATCTACAAATTACTTACATATTCTGAACCTCTGGTAGATTTGCAGTACCTTTGCCATTTAAACACTCTAACCCCTAATCTCGTCTAGAAGACAGTTACACTTCAGTCCACCGTCGATTTTGTATGCTTGAAGCAAAATTCTTGTTTGGATTTCATAAGAAAGTATTCGGACTCGAGAATCGAACTTCATGGTTTTTCCCATCAGTCAGCTCGGTTACTTTTACGATTTTTTTTTTTTTTTTCATATTCGACAAACCTCTGGAGTCATCAAAATGTCTCTGGAGTCTGCATCTCACGTTGCAAACCTCATGTAGCAAAATGCGCCCAAGTACTCTATTTAATTAGTTGAATGGTAAATGGCGAGCGGTATATTGATGGTGTTTATTTTCTTAAGCGGTTACCTATAAAATTGTGGAGGGGGTCTATTCGCAAAAGAGAGAAACAAACTATTGAGGTTTTCTAAATTATATTTTATTAGGTATACTTAAAACCAAAATTAAAATAAAGCAAATATCTTTTTATGTCTGACAGCCAACTCAATTATTCCACATCCGTTCAAATTTCATTACTACGGACCAGAAAATATCCATACAAAAAAAAACGTCCTACCTCATCTTTTCTTAATAACTTATAAGTTTATACATTACAAGACTTCCGATTCACATTCCTCACATTAAAACTTCCCTTCACCTATACCTATCTATAAATTCTTAAAACTAAAAAAAGTCATTTACTGACTGCTTATGCAATAGTTATTTGTTTTACAAGGCAGAAAAGTACAAGATTTAATGCCGCGGCTGGTGTTTCATAGCCGAGGCATAGCCGAGGCTATGAAACCAGCCGAGGCATTAAATCTGCTTTTCTGCCATGTAAAACATATAATTTTTTCTCCGAATGTTCAAATTCACACATGGACATCTTTTTTATATTTATTTCATTCATTATTATTATCCAAATAATTAAATTATTTTGACAATTGTCATTGTCACCATCAATTTCAAATACCAAATTGAGTGAAATTTTTACCTGGAACGTTGTGACACTGTCACTTTTAATGCCTAGGCAGTAAAAATCCACTTTTACTGCCTAGGCAGTAAAAATACAACTTTTGATCCTGTCAAGTGTCATTAAAAGGCCACTTTTACTGTCATTCGGAGAAAAAATAATTATTTAACAGACTCACTGAATTAAGTATATATGTATTACCAACTATATTTTTATAAAAACCTTACCATAATTTCTAAATGAAGAAAAAAAAACTTAATTCAAAATTTCAGCACTTATGGTACCTACTTAATGAACAACAATTTTCAAACAAAATTTTCCCATACTTTTAATGATTTATTCTTTTACTTTTAGTGGTTCCCATCCTTCACTTAGGATAATTTTGAACAGAACAATTACTATACTCGGATTCCTAGCCAACAAACACAATTATTTAATTAATAATTCCTACTCAAAATCGAATATTGTTAAGAGCATTATAATTTAAATTTGTTAATTCTTTGCAAAATTAATTAAAATGTCATTATACTCTAAGGCAATTAAAGTTATGCAATAAAGTTTTTACAGTCAAATCACTCAAGTTTTTATGCATTAAAGTTTCAATGTCAATTCACTTCTTCATTTATAAAGTTAAAAAAAAACTTTAATAGTCACTAAAGTACTTACATTTAAAGTGTCACTCGATAAAATACTTAATTAATTTACTCAAAATTCAGCTAGAGCACGCACATAATGTTGAACGAATTTAAATCGCCTTTCTTTCATAAATTTTCGTTACTTTTCAAAGAGTCAATCAAACGCGTTTTCCCGAGGTAAAAACAAGAAAATAAACTTTTCGCGAATTTTATCCGCACTGACTCATTAGGTACTGTAGACTTAAAACTGAACTGGACTGAACTAACAATTTAACTTAAACTTCTAAATCCGCTGTATTTATATTTTTCGATTCCCCCCAAAATATTATTAATTATCCACCAAAATCGACAATGGGCGGTCGTTTGACCATCTATAAATCAATTCTATTGGTCGACCTAGATATTATTCCAAAAATTAATTTCATCATTTAGAGGATGATGTAATCTGTTCGAATTTTTTGTCATTTTGGGTCCAATTTAATTAGGTGCTTAACCTTGTAATTGATCTTTTCCGGGTTTTTATTTACGAGTTCAAATGACATACGTGCTGGGTCACTGATGGCTTATTTAAAATTTGAACGTACCGATATAAATATTTTAAGTAATTTGGGTCAATGCTAATTTGTTTCATCTTTCAAGTTATTGATACTGATTTGAAATATTGGAAATTCAATTTTTTGTTTATTTGATTACCTTTAATTTTTACAGTAAAGACATTGTAAAGTACGGGCCTATTTTTCCCGGGTCATTACACTCATCAGTCATCATATCTATTTGCTGCTTTATTGAATTTCCAAAGCATCAAGGGTTGTTGTAGGCAAAATTATGATATTACCTCTGGACTCAGAAATTAGTTTGCAGTCCGGCGATTTCAGCTGAATCAGAAGTAACAAGAATATAGAAATTAACCGTCTTTAACCTTAGTTTCAAAATTCCGCTAATTTCTTTTTTATTTTTGCAGGTGATATAATAATAAAAGAAGGCACCATTGGTACCAAAATGTACTTCATCCAAGAAGGAATCGTCGACATAGTGATGGCCAACGGTGAAGTAGCAACCAGCCTGAGCGACGGTTCCTATTTCGGCGAAATTTGCCTGTTGACGAACGCCCGACGAGTCGCCTCTGTACGATCGGAAACTTATTGCAACCTTTTTTCGTTGTCCGTTGACCACTTCAATGCGGTACTCGACCAGTACCCGCTCATGCGCCGTACCATGGAGTCAGTGGCGGCGGAGAGGTCAGTGCGTTGGTTGGTATAATAGCCCGTCAGAGGGTTTTTCTCTTATAACTTAGTCGCTTATTGTGGAGTTTTTGGTTTTTTTGTTTGGAAAATGATGTGCTTTGTGCAAATTGGAGAAAAAAAAATAGCGACTGAGTTAATTAGTATGGAACTTTTAGAAGAAATATATCTGAGGGTTCCATACTGTGAAGGACATAGGTATAAAGAAAATTAGGAACTTTTAAATAAATAAAAAATTGTATGTTCTAATCTCAGCCTCAATTCACTGTTCCAATTTTTAAATTTTTATAACTGTGTCCAGAAAACTTAAAATATTCTAGGTATAAAAAACCTACACAACAACACCAAACATTTTACATATAAACACTTAACCCAATGTTCGAAGAGTCGGATTTTCGAACAAAGGGAATTCATCACTCAAAAACACTTACCAACTAAACATAATTATTTTGTAATTGTTGTAAAAATGTTAAAAATTTTGCACCCCTGTCATGTGTTAACATCTATAACTAGAGTCCGAATTCTGACTAAAGATACTTTTGTGATATCAGTTTGAAAAAATATCGTCTTTTTAGTTCTTAATTTGAGACTCTACACGCTTTTGGCTTTGGCTGTTGTTGTTGTGGTTGTTTTATTTTGCGAGGATTTTATATAAGTAACTGAAATATTAGTTAGATACTCATTGGAATCATCAGATACTTGGTAAAAATAGAAATCAAACCTGCGATCAATCTTGTAATGAAACACTTTTGGTTGCTGGCAAAATATATTTGAAATCTGGACTGAATTTAAATAAACCTAGTGAAGTTTCAATTCAACTTGGATGAAGAAATGTTCTCAGCCTTTCTTGAGTTGAGTGCTATCAATTTTTGATGCCTAACATTAAATTTACTAAATAAAGTGTACTCAGTGTGTGTACAACCAGATTATCAAAAAAAAGTAATATAATGCCTCTTGCCTTGCAGACCCAGGTTCAATCCCTGGGCCAGTTAGTGCCGATGTTAATATTTGGAATTTGGTATCAGCAAGAAACGTCATCTTTCGGAAAGCGATGTAGAGCTGTTGGTTCCGTGTATCAGTGATGTGATGCACGAAAATGATCCATATCATAAACAAATGTAAAGGATTCGGAATATTTCAAATAAAACGACGAAATTAGATCATGAACAATTCCATTAATACGTAACACAGCCAACCGATAAAAGCTAACGCGACAACTGTTGGTAGATAGTAGATTTCGCATCCCCGTACCGGATCTCTTCTTGGTTTTTCCGTTATCTATTGAAAACAATAGATTTGGTGTCAGGCGATCAATAATAGAAAAATTCCTCAACAAGGGTCTTTGGTACGGCTATACAGTGTCGGCTCTTGTTTTGTTTCAGTCGGCCATCCTACCCCTATTTTTTGTCCTCGGAAAATGTTTCGTTAATTCTAAAAAAAAAAATTAGATTTTAATTCAATAATTAAGGCCCAAATTCATTTTTTCTTGTCAAGCTGTACACATTACACGTCCCTCAGTTTCAGAACTATCTTTTATCAGCCTCTGAAACAACGTCTGTTTCATCGAGCTGATCTTTGTTCGAATCCGTATCACTGCTACAATCGTGCGTATGCGGTTTTTACTTATCTACGGAGCACACGCTTCGATGCTGTTTTTGAGAGCGCCTCGAGCCCTGAAGATCCTCTACAAGTTACCTATCGTGATCAAGTACTTTGGTCACGACATACGGACTGCAGTACTTGGGAAGCAGCTTTTTACTTTTGCCCTCGTTGGCAAATCCACTCCTTCGTAGGAGTACTTGACTGCCTTCCTCGTACACGATAGGATTCCTTCATTTGGTATCGTAATTAACCTTCTGTTTCGCTTGTGCTCTCACTACTTGTTTTTGAGCATCGTTTCGCATCTCACCTCCTGGTCGCTATGATCGTTTTCCAGATTTCGTTGGTGAGAAATACATCACCCATTCCTCTGGGTTTGAACCCATACAGAAGCTCGTGTGGGCTTTTGTACCCGTAGCGCTCTGCACTGCAGAATTGATTCCGAATCGTATGGAATCGATCGTTTGATCCCACTTCCTCTCGTCATCAGCCGTCACTAATAGGGAAGCCAGAATCGTATGATTATATCGTTTTACTTGCCCGTTGGCTCGCGGTGTTGCCGTTGCGTTAAGTACCACTTTTATATACCAAGCTTTTTCACAAATTCTTGGAACATCTGGTGTAACACGTTCCACGATCGCACAAACCGCCAACGTTTCTAATTCATATGAATGGTAACTCTGTTTCTGTTTCAAATTTCTATCTTCTTGCCATTGCAGCAAAATATACCTCCAAGGCCTCGACTCGAAGGGTCTGTATGGAGTTCACTGTGGGTTGTAAATAGCTAGAATAGGTCGTTTTGTTGAATGGTCTTTGAGACGTTGGAAAGATTGTTGTTGTTGTGCTTCCCATGTAAAAACCTTATTTTTCCTTGTTAATGCTGCTAATGGGCGAGCTATTTGGGCAAAATTGTTCACATATTTTCTAAAATAGCTTGCGAGTTCTATAAATTGGCGTACTTCATGGATATTTCTTGGAGTTGGGAACTGTTTTACTGCTCTAGTTTTCTCTGACCCAGGACGAATTCCTTCTGCACTAATTTCATGCCTCAAATAATCAATTTCGTTCTTAAAAAAATGACATTTATTCAATTTGAATGCTCCTCCAAAAATGCTAAATGCTTCATAGATTTCTCATAATGCTTCTAAACCAGAATCAAAACTAAAAAAAAGCAAGAGAATATCATCAAGATAAACTAATGCAGGTATATTATTAACAGTTCCTAGAATATGGTTAATCGTTCTTTGGAAAACAGCGGGAGCATTCACCAATCCGAATGGCATACGCAAATATTCGTACTGCCCAGCTGGACTAACGAGCGCTGTTTTCTGTCGTGACTTTTCAGATATGGAAATTTCGTGATACCCACTGGCCATGTCAAGAGAAGTGAAGTATCTACCTGGCATTTGACAGCATTTCTTAATGATCATCGGGTCTTCTTATGAGATAACACTCTTTGATACATTTTGAGTTCATACCTCTGTAATCAACGCACAAGCGTATTTCACCATTTTTCTTTCTAACAAAAACAATGGGACTAGAATATCGTGAATTAGACTCTTGAATAATACCAGTATCAAGCGAATCATCAACCATTTCTTTTACACGTTACTTGATGTTGCATATCATTTAAAGTGAACAATTCTAGACTAGATTTATACAAAGTGTTTATACTTACCTGGCAATCACTGTTACCTATGCGTTATTAGGTACACAAGGAGTTGCTCTGGTAACCAACATCTAAAAAAATATTCGGTCCAACTTTCACCAATTAATTTATGTGGCTTTATCATGGATTTAATGGACGATGGGAAATCCTGGTGATCAGGAAACGTATTGATAAGATTTGCTTTCCATTGTACCCAATTATAATCGTAGGAGTCATGATGATGGTACCATGACTGAGCTAACCCTTTTGATCTGCTTTGCATATGGTAAATCATTGTTGCTTCCTCCCATTTATTTATGGAAGCCAATTGCTTAATTTTGGCTAACCATTTACTGCAACTCATATTATGTACCTTACCTGGGTAGGAATGAAATCAGCTATTATTGTCACGTGTGGCACATTTCTACCCCTATCTACCAGATCTTCCAAAATTTCAAAGCGCTCCTTGTTTCTATTCTATTGAATCTATTGGTAGTAGAACTACTGCTTCTCGTAACGTCTACGGTTCCAGCCTGTTCTAGTAGAAATTCATTCCGTGATATTCCACTAGCGCTTTAAATTTCCGGAGTTGTTCCTCGATCTGTATTAGGAATATTCGCATTACTCTTCTCTGCAAGTATTTTTGCTTCAACCGCGACACTTTTCACACTCGGCTTTCTACATATCGACTTTCTGGAAGCTTGTTTGTAGCGACCGACATCTGATGTACTTGTTGAAGTTGAACTGTCACTATCACTACTAGGGCTACGCCTTTTATGCCTGCGTTTACCCATTATGACATACTATCACTCACTTTATTAAGAATATTTACAAAATTATGGTCTAATACGGATGTATCGCTAGAACTATCCCACCGATGCACAGTAAGGGAATATCTCAAATAAAACGACGAAATTAGATAATAAACAATTTCATTAATACGTAGGTTTAGACTCAAGAAATGATCGCAATACACGAAAAACACAGCCAATCGATAAAAGCTAACGCGGCGACTGTTGGCAGGTAGATTTCGCATCCTCGTACCGGGTCCCTTCTTTGTTTTTTCCTTTATCTATTGAGAACAATAGATTTGGCGTCAGGCGATCAAAAATTCCTCAACAAGGGTCTTTGGTACCTACGGCTATACAGGGTCGGCTCTTGTTTTGTTTCACAAAATTTCCAGATAGGGAATGTGATAAATTCTCCGTTCGTCGATGATTGAAGATTGAACATTACAAAGTTCATACCATCCATTGTGTATCTAGCTAATATTTCCGTCAATACAATTTACAATTTGTTTGAATGATGTTAAATTAATGAGCCCTTAAAATTTGTATTTTAGGTTGAACAAAATCGGCAAAAATCCAAACCTTCTAGCCCACCGAGAAGAAGATCTGGGTAGCGAAAGCAAGACCATCAATGCCGTCGTGAACGCTCTAGCAGCCGAAGCCGATCACACCAACATGTCGCAAGAATCCGTTGCCAAAATGCATTGTGAAGGAGATTGTGATTCATTATCCGAACACTGTTTCGAACGTAGCCCGCAAAAAAGGACAGTATTGCCGAGACCGAAGTCGGAAAATAATTTTTTATCGCAAGATATTTCGTTAGTGATTAGTTCGAACGGCAAACCGCTGTTTCATAAGTCAGATACAATACATAAGCAGATGCAATGACGTCACTCCACGCACTAGTGTCTAGGGTTGACAGGTCGGCTCGGTAAAATTCCAACGATGTCCGTTGTCCGGACATCGCTGGCGATTTTTACGGAGTACATTTGAACTTGTCAAAATTCGTCCACTGGTGCGTGATCGATTTTTAACTCTATACCACTAAAAGAAAAAAGGACAACCGGAATTTAAACAAGCAATACTTATTTTAATTAAATGACTTCTGAGTTATCAAAAAAATGCAATATTAGAGAGTTTCTTCTATGTAACTGATGAGCTTTAAAATTGTGCTCAAAATATTTCTTGTTATGATTTTTGTGACACACATACACTGTTTAGTCTATAAGTAGCATATCCAAGGAAAATAACTATTTTTAGGTAAATTATTTTCATTTTTAATTGAAACGCTTAGAAAAAAACGTTCATGTCCAGAATAAACTGAATGTCGATTAAAAAAGTCAATTAAAAAATCAAGAATTGGTGCTCTGCAATATGGCACTCAAATCTCCTCACATTTATTTTTCTATTATTTCTTGAGGCACTATCGACACTGAAAATCGTTTTAATGTTTTGTTGCCTCCTTAGGCTGCATCTCCACGTTCTTCAAGGTTTTCGAATGGATGGATTGGCAGGACTTGTATGATGCAGATCCAGAATCGAGGAAGAAGAGGATTCAAAAAGACACTAAATGGTACCTGTGATATTATCGATCTTCCATATAGTATTTTGGCAGGAGATTGACCGTTTGCATTGTTTCCAATAGTCTTTTGTAGTACATCTCCTTGTTTAGTGATCCGTTTACCATGTATTTGATTATTAACGCCTTCATAAATTTCACAACTGCCTCTTCATGTCCGTTGCTTTGCGGATAATGGGGTGTAGATGCGGCAAATTTCACTTCTTCAAAAATAATTAAAATTCACGAGATGAATACTGTCCTCTTTTATCTGACCTGAATCTAACGGGAACACCAGTATCAGCGAAAATTTTATACAAATAATTCATAATCTCTCCACTGTTGGGATCTTTATTTCCATAATAGCACACGATATGCCATCCAGATAAACGATCTACGTAAACCATAAAGTGTTTTCCGGCAGTAGGTATTAAACCAATCCGAGGAGACATCCTCAAATGGGCGACTTGCTAATTAGTCCATTATAAATGTCTCCTTTGATAATGAACTTCTATTGTCTTGACAAGATTGGCATGCTTCAATGCATTGTTCTACATCACTTGCCATTGCCAATATACAAATTGACAAGCTCTTCGTATTGTTCTATTAATGTCTTACTGAGAAGCGTGTAGTTTCTCGAGAATTATTTTACGTTTGGGTATCAAAATTCTATTTCCCTTAACTATTAGCTCATTATCGTAGCTATAAGTTCTTCTCGAATATTTCAGAAAGGCAATAAAACCGCTTCGATATCTTTTTTATTTTTTGGAAAACCATTTTGAGTCCGGCCCACAAGCAGCCTATATTCCTCGTCTTCTTTTGCTAAGGCTTGAAGTTGCAAAATCATAGGATTTCTCAGATGAGAACTTCGGACTTCGTCCGATGTATTGTCTGCCAAAGATATTTATTGGATTATCATGGTTTTCATGTGACTTGTTGCTTCTTCTGCCAGTAAATCTTCTTCCATTGGATTTGAAATTGGCGCGCGAGAAAGAGCATCAGGAATAAAGTGTTCCTTCCGTTTTCGCCATTCCGCTTTATATCCATATCCTGACAACTTTTAGTCTTTGTAGTCTCGGATTTTCGATTGAATCTAGACTGAATTTATTTAGGATAGCTATAACTGACTGTTGTATACCTAAGAGGTATAACATACATTTCATCACAGCCCACGTTATACCCAAGAGTTCTATCTTGATCATCGCGTATTATGTTTCTGTATCAGATGAAAAACGACAACCGCATTGTATTCGCTTCCATCCATCTCCATGTTTTTGAAGTAGCGCAGATTCCCAATCCATTCGTTTTTGATGCCTTTGCATGTAGAGCTGTCGCTTTAGTACGATCAAAATAAGTTAGAATAGGAAGATTTGCCAAAGCTTTTCTGACATTGTTAAATGCTTCATGATGATTTTCACTCCCAATAAATTGATTTTATAACTTTAGAAGTTCTCTAAGTGTGGTCTAGCAGTGTCGCTTATTTCTGAGGAGAAAGACCCCATGAAAGATCTAAGCTGGGTAATATTCTGTGGAACTGGAATTTTTTTATAGCTTCTACTTTTTTAGGATCTGCCTGAATTCCATTTTTCCTACGATATACCCAACATAGGATAGTTCTTGTTGTACAAACTTTTCTGGATTCAATGTGATCGATTTGGATCTACAACGTTCGAGCAACATAATAATTCCTCGGTAGCGGTCTTCAAATGATTCATAGCCCAAGAAATTTATACCTGGGCAGGCTGATTTTTTCAGGGCTGATTGGAGACTATGTCCTGAGTATTGAGCCAAAAAAATCACACTCGAAAGCCTTGTGCGTTCGGCCCTATTGGCCTTTTTCTTATTTATTTATTTTCGACAAAATTACCTTTACAAAACTTGTAGATAATTACATTCTGATCAACTTTGCCTCATGACTTTTTTTGCAGAATTCGCAAAAAAATTAAATAGCAAACCTGCAGATTATTATACCTAATAAAATTCTCTATTACTTTGCTTGATGATATTTTATTGTAACTTTATTTCTTTCGCTTGTACGGCCTTTTAGGCATTTGAAAAATTTTATTTGACCTGGTGGACATTGTGGCATGCATAGCGTTTCTAAGGATTTGACACATTTTGCAGGTAAAATGTGGCGTTTCGCGAAATTGAATTTCGCGGACGGTTGCACAATAGCTATTTGTGTATTAAGAGCGCAAAGTGGCACTTTGCCGATCGAAAGATATTGTTGATATTGGCAAATGCACACTTGATTTTTTTTACAATCGCATTTGATGAAAAATAGTTTAGGTTCAAAGAAACCAGAAACCCAGTATTGTCAAAAAAAAACATCATTTCGATTTCACGCTTTCACTCCGGGAAAATAATTTCACTGGTTTAGTAATGTAATGTATCATTTCTTGGACTGAAACCGAAAACGTTATGGAGTACATTACCAGTAATTTTATTAAAGTTACAATAATCTGCAGGTTTGCTATTTAACTTTTTTGCGAATTCTGGAGCACTAAAATGGCCGCAACGCCTAAACTAAAATAGCTAGCAGAAAAAGGCATGAGGCAAAGTTGATCAGAATGTTATTATCTACAAGTTTTGTTGAGGTCATTTTGTCGAAAAAAAATAAATAAGAAAAAGCTCAATAGGGCCGAACGCACAAGGCTTTCGAGTGTGATTTTACTCATACTCAGGACACAGTCTCCAATCAGTCCTGAAGAAATCAGCCTGCCCTCGCAAAATTTTTTGAAAAACCCATAAATTTCTTGGGCTATCATCATACAACAAGATATCATCGACAACTTTTTCAATATCGCCAATATCCAATAAGGCTTCGTCACCTCGTCGGCAAAACTCGTTTCCAGAACTAATTAAGCCTATCGGAGTTCTAAGGAATTTATATCGACCCCAAGGAGTAAGAAATGCTGTTAAATTTTGACTTTTCTCATCTAATGTTAATTGCCAGTATCCACTTTTTGCATCCAATGATGAGAAATATTTTGATTTTCCACTGATGTTTGAAACTGCCTGTCAAGGTGATTTAAATGGATGTGTTGGCCTTTTGACATACTGGTTCAGTTTTGTATAGTCTACACATATTTGTATTTTTCCATTTGATTTTTGAACCACTAATGACTTACAAATTCAGTTGGTATATCAAGAACAGGTGCAATGATATTTTGGGGTAATTAGTCGTCTAATTCTTTTTTCTCTGGATCTAGCCAAGCATATGGAATTTTCCTGGGACATGTAATAGCATATAGTTCATAGTTTTCCATCAAATGTATGTGTACTGATTTTCAATCCATCGGTTTCAAGATTTTTGTATCGAAAACGTCTTTATATTGTTCCAGTTCCAGTAGTTGTTTCCTTATTTTTTCACTTTCTTCTTCAGAAGGATCTTTTTGAATTTTGTTTAAAACATTTACTGGATATCTTTTATATAGGTAGGTACTATCGGTTTTGAAAATTCTGGGTGAACTATGCCAAGTTTTATAGGCGTTCATCTATCAAGCAAAAGATCTTTGATATTCTTGCAAACGTAAATTTTCACTTCTGTTGTGTTATTTTCATAGGTAATTTGATAGTTGATACATCCAAATACTTTGATCTTTGTACTATCAGCTCTGATTCAAGCCTTGTACTGTTTTTTTCTAAATTTTGATATGAAAAATTTGCTTTCTGAATGAAATTTTCACCTACCACGCTTACCTCTGCACCCGTATCTGGAGTAGCCATTGTGAGACCCCACTTCAGATACTTATATGATGCTGAATTGGCGAGCGGCGGCTTTTGTTTCTGAGTGGAGACACATATTGATATGGGTCCTATTCGCGGATGTGAGAGTAAAACACAACTGTGGACTATTATTTTTAATATGATTTTATTTAAAATAAATTTATCGGGCGTCGGCCAGAAAGGCTTGAAATATAATAACCAAAATTTTAGGTAAGTTTCGTACTAAAAGTTTGCCTTATCAAAAATAATGTTAAATTAGAAAGTTCAAATTTTTCCAATTATCAATCACGAAAATCCCAAATCAAAATGTTATAAATAATTATGAATAACGAAATATGTTTCAATAACAAAAGTTCTTTTACAAAATTTAGCTTCAAATTTTCTTATTTTACCAACTATTAATCATGAAATTTCATCTTAAAAATGTTTTCATTCCTTTTGGGATAATTATTTAACTTTCGTAAATTTATCAATTCATTAAATTTTTGTCCTATTATAAAGAGTACAAATTTCCTTTTTACAGTGTAAATCTATAACCTATTCACAATCCGATGTCCACAGATACAGGTAAATTTATCACGTACCTTTCCCTATCAAATTAGGCATTCCCACGACTTGTCAAAAAGTGCATTGTGGCGGATATGAGAGTATGGAAATTAAAGCTTTTTATGTGCATTTTGTGGTTGTTTTGTGAATGAACTCTGTTAATTTTTTTATTTTATTGACTTTATTAGTGTTTCTTTTAACTAAAAATGCCACAAACGTGTCTTGTAGTTGATTGTGGAAGTAGTTTCAACAAAGTAACAAGGATGATGTCAGGCTTTTTTCATTGCTCTCTAGTTTCAAAAATTTCTAGTTAAAAGGTGAAAATTGTTCACTACCACTGTTCCTGCATCTAAAAATTTTGTGAAAACTGTGGGTTAAAATGTCAACTGGACATTTTTTCAAACTAACCGTTCGCCCACATCCCGATTTTCCTGCATTTAAGTCTTTAAATATTGACTCTGCGTCTCAAAAACTATATTATAACAAAGTAAACTGTTATTAGCTCGAAAAAATTCCAAATAAACTCAAGATAAACAAACAAACGTCAAATTTTCCACGCTCGTCATATTGAAAAATCACGTGGTTTGGAGAGCCTAATAGCATTGAGAGGTTATAAATTTTACCTGTACCTGTGGACATCGGATTGTGAACGGATAATACTTACAAGATGTATTTATTACTTTAATTTTACTGGCAAACACGTAATTACTGAAACGTTATTTTTTACGACTTGACTTTATGAACCCGAAATTTTCGCACTGCCTCCTTAAAACTTTTTGTACTATCTTCGACTTTGGACTCTGCTTGTTACGTCTGACACTTGACTGACTGTTCTGACTGTTCTCAACTGACACTTTTGACCGTTCTTGACTGATACTTCTTCTGAGCCGACACTGCTATTTTTTTCGCAATTCAGGCTTTTTATATAAAAATATTCTCCTTCTTTCTTTTGTTCTTTCGGCGGCCTAATTTCTCCCCCAATTTTATGAGTGCTTTGACATCAACATTTCGTCATCTCGGCCCTCTTTTTGGTGGAATGCGGTACCGTTTCTTTGTCGGCATACAGCACGCGCCTGATTTATGGTGCTTTCCCGGAATTTGGGTTCAGTAACAGATGGCGTCATGTTAGTAAAGTGCCGCGTTTCAGGGACACATTCCAATTGAATCATCTATTTTTGAGTGGCCCCACTTATCGGATTTTTGAGAAGGGATTTCGGTTTCTGCTGTTTCTTTATTCGATGGTCAGATCATTTTTACTAGAAGTTCCGGCTGTAACTGGTTGAGTGTTGTTGTCTCCTGGGGTGTTTAATTTTCGGTAAGTTGTAGTTGATTTTGATTCCATTTTTCCAGTTTGATTTATGTTTTGTTTGTTGTTTGTTTCATTTTTCAACAAAATAACCAGAATATTAACAATTATTTTATTCTTGGCGGTTTTTCTTGGTGGTTTATTTCTGCGTCACTACACCATGTAAGGGAATCCGTGATTGCTTTTAGTTGGTGCTCTAATTTAAACCTCAATTTGACGAAGATTATGCTTTTGGTTACCACTGACAATTTTCAGTAAACTGATTTTTGATGATTCGTCTTCTGAGCAGTCAATAAATTCCACGTTTTTTGTACGACAACATTTCAAAAAATGTCCAATTTTTTCACATCGGCTGCATATGGAGTCTATTGCAGTGCAATCTTTCAAACCTTCATGCCATGTTTTGTTACATCTAGGACATTTCTTGATATTTACTGAATTTACTTTTGATTTATTTATTTTGTGTATCTACCTTAGAACAATTTGATTGGGATTCTTTTATTTGTGCGACTTCTTCTAATTCACAAATTCTATTGACATCATTGATATTTGCTGATTTCGGTAGTGTTCTGCATTTTTTTCTGATTTCTGTATCATAAAGAGATTAGATCATATGATCTGTGATTGTCCATTGTCCGGTCAAAGCAATGTGAGCAGAGATCACTCAAAGGAAATAATTTCAATTTTTCTCTATTAAATATAAAGAAAGATTCGTCAGATTCTTGTTTACGGTTCATGAGCTCACTATAGTTATCTGATTCGGTTATTTTGTTATTTCGTCTAGAACATGTATAACCGTAATTTGATTGAAATCCCCAGGACAAATTGGACAACATCTAGAATGTTCTGAGTAAACGAGGATAGCAAAGCTGTAACCTCACCAGTGCTATTGATATTCACTCCTTGATATAACAGATAATTTTCAAACTTAATTTTCCAATTTTTGAACTGCGCTAGGTTTAAAGAATCATCGAGTTTTCCTGGCAAAGATTTATTGCTTGAAAAACATACGTATTCCACTTTAGTGATGTCTACACACTCCGTTTCCAAGTATCTTTGTTCCACCGAAATACTTTCTTCGCTACTGCCACCTTTTTGAAGTACTAACAATTCTCTCAAACTGTTTTGTAGTTCTGATAGTTGTTGTTTGAAATCTGCTTCCATAGTTTTCAGAGAATTTTCCGTTTTTTTCTCCAAAATGCGTAAAACTTGTTTGGTTGTCTCAATGCATATTTCTGGAATATCTTCAGATGTTTGGCTTGACTTCTTGGCCTTGTTTCTACGAGTCATCATCTGTTACCACCGCCACCTGGTTGCGACGGTTGGGTAAGGGAGACTTTGTTTTATCACTGGTAAAGGCCTTTCTGTACTGCGGTAGCGTGCCACCAGGGACTTTGTTTAAAGTCCCACTGAAAATCTAGGTAACTTTGAATGATACTTTTCCGTAATCTGATTAGATTGCTTCTTCCAGTGCGGGTTCTTGCTACCTGAGCTGTACGCAGTTAGTTGGAATGCTAGCTTGGGGGTTTCCAAAGGAAATAAAAGAATCAGTTTTTTCTTAGTAAACTCTAACAATGTTTATTGAAATGAAATGAAAAAAAATTACTCACCGAGATTTGGAATGATAGGGAGTGAAATTTATGAGCGTCCTGTAGGGCGTTCCTGGATGGTACAAATTACATGAGAAAATAAAGAATAAAAGGTACAAAAAATGAAGACTAGGTTATGATTCCTAATGGCGTCCTCGGCAAGGGAATGACAAAATGGCCTTGTTATTCAGGGTGAGATACATGTTGGAAAGGAGATTTGAGTTGTGAAGCTAATCCAATGGTTTTGTTCTTTACATAGGGGAGAAAATAAATAATAAACAGAAAACAACAATCATGGTGAATAAATTAAAATAGATGAAATTGAAACATTACCTAAGGTCTCGGGAAGAGAGTCAGCAGAAATACGTCAACATTAAACGCCAGAACTTCGTTACAGAACTGAATGAATCTAGGAAATTCACAGGCTTATTTATATTGGCAGCTTGATGACGCTTTTGGGATTCTTATCGGTCGCATAACATGCGGTTTGTTCATGGAACCAGGAGTCGAGAGTCGTATTTTAAGACACAATTAGGACACTGTTTCGGGATTCGACTGATAACCCTTGGCTCTTGTCGTTTAAATATCTGAAACAGCTTTTTCTTGGTTCTTATTCAGACTGCGCCATGTTATGTTTGAATTTTATATAGAACTTTATTGACAACCTTATCAACAATTTTACAATTAATAATCAATGTCAAAACATCTCCACATATCAAATGTTTTTATTTATACAGGACTACCACAACCTTCTCGTGTTTTTAGTGGTCGTGCGAGGAACAAATTTATTTCCAGTAAAATATGTATTTTGACCTCCATTTTGAAAAATTTCCACCCACGTGCTATGCCTCTATCTCAGAGACTGGACCTGAAAATAGAAAGAAAATATTTCTCTGTAGAGCATTTCTAAGCGTCCATGAATGACACAACGATAATTTTTCAGTGTTCGTTTCAATTTTTTGTTGCCTCCTCAGGCTGCATTTCCACCTTTCAAATGGAATGACAGGACTTAATGATGCAGATCCAGAATTGAAGGATTTTCATACTGAATATAATCAAATCGACATTCAGTTTATTAAAAGAAAATAAAAAGTCTTTCTTAGGAATTGATACAATTATTGGCCTAGATGATTAATAAGTTAATAATTATCTTAACTAGCCAACAATTAAAGCCTAAAATGTTTACTTTCAGCCCAAGTTTTACTTGATTAGTTTCAGAGCTGATTCTCGCGCTCGAAGATTTTTATTTTTTAACTTTTAACTCAAAAATTTCAAGGGATTGACACAAAAAAATTAAACACATTTTTATTGTTGCCATATATTATATAGACTTTTGCCAATTTTAAACTAAGGTAGGTACAAATTTTTATTTGAGTGAAAATACAAAAAAAAAAAACAAAATAGCGCAAATTGGGAGGAAAATGAGTGAAAGAAAATGTAGATTTCAATTCGATTGTGGAAAGGTTGCCACAATTCGCTTAAGTAGAGACCAAATAACGTGGTATAAAATTATAAATAAAACAAAAAAAAGTTTATAGCTTGAAAGCACTTTGTACATAAAATAATATGTTGTTAATTATTAGTATTTTCTTGCCTAATGATATTATTTGTATGGCTTTTAATATAAAACTCAATGCGTTATACTTACTTATTTATTTATTTTATTATTTAATAATTTATTTATCTTTTATTAATATTTTTTTAGTAATATCAAAATAAATAAATGCTTCTCAAGTTATAAATAAGACAATTGATAAAATGAAAAAAAAAATGTATCACAAACATCAAAAAAAAAATTATTAAAACATCAAATCTTCACTAATAAAAATATTACTCCACCCTTTTAAGTCTTAATATCGTTCCAATAAAGACCAATTATTACTTTCTATGATAATCTAGCATTTTAGATGTAAACTTAGGCTTTCTAGAGACTTATTATAGCCTTATAAAAATAATATGCCTGCGCTGCCTATGGAACGATATTAAAGAACTAGATTATTACTCCCTTTTTTTTTAATTTGGCTCAATTTAATTTAAATTGAAACAAATAGTACAAGGGTCAAATTAAATTATTTCACAATCTATTTTCTATTGTAGAACATTGCCGCACTAAAAATAGCCTCCCTCCTAATTCTAAAATATATTCTGTTAATTAATTTGTAGATATCTAAATAGTTCTTGTTATTGTTGCAGAACTTTATAGAAATATAGTTGTTAAGTTCTTTATAATATAGAGAAATTTTAATTATTTTTAACAATAATTACAATTTGTTACTGTATATTAAATATTATTATTTTAAATCTAAATTATTAGTTTAATAACTTATTCTTACTATTATGATTTTTATATTGTATAGATTAAAAATTTGTAGATACAAAATAAAAATAAAAAAAAACAAAGGTAATGTTGATCAGAAAAACAAATAAACTTATGTTTGACATCGCCTCTTTAGAATTCTAGTTTGATTTCAAGCTTTTCCGTTTAGTTGTAGACAGCTAAAGGAGGACAACTCCAGCGAGACATTAATATTTCTCTGACCAAAACCAAGAGCAGCCTCGAGGTATGGATGAAATCTGTCTGCACATGTCATATCTCAAGGTTAAGACATTCGTTAGGACAATTCAAGGTCACACTATATTAGAGATGGGAGTCCAAGATCAAGGTCGTGTGACGGCAAGAAAATACTCGAAAGCGTGTTTTTGTCATGTTGACCAATTGCTTCCATGAAGTTGGAGTTAACTGAAAAAGCACAATTTTTTTTTTATAATACTCTGGAATTAAGGCCAGAGACGAAACACATTATTCGTCTACTGGGTTATCATCACTAATGTCATCATCAGTAGCTGTCGTAACATAAAGTTTCATTCTGTCTGAAGAACAATTGTCCGTATAAGCAGTCCTACAGCGTTTCGACCCATGCAATTTGTCAACTACTTATCTGTCACTGTTAAGTACCTTTGACACAACTGTAGCAAAACTCCCCAAGTACTCTATTCAATTAGTTAGATGATAAATGGCGACCGGTATATTGATGGTGTTTATTTCCTCGGAGCGGCTACCTATAAAATTGTGGAGGGGTCTATTCGCAAAAGAGAGAAACAAACTATTGAGGTTTACTAAATTATATTTTATTATATATATATATCCCTCGAAATCTTTCCAAAATCCTACTGAAATCCTCCGAAATCTCTCAAAATCGCTCTAAATCCGAAATCTTGTCACATTTTTCCCTTAGTCACAGAACATATCACCTATAGAAAAATATCTCAAATGGGAGAATCGCGACGAAGGTTTTTAGTTAGCTTTTCATTCAACGATGGCGACACTGTCGGGAGATAAGATAAATTTACAGGTATCTGTGGTGTGGACAGTGATTTGTGTTGGTTGGTTTTGTCATTTATTTTGTCATTTTAAAAGTCAAAATTTGAATTTTTAAATTGTGTTGTTGTAAACCATGGTCCCCACGCGCGTTAAAGTGAAAATTCAAAAAGTTTTGGTTGAAAAAAACCCTAATTTTTGTTCGTATTTTTTTGTATTTACTCGTTTGTTTCGTTTCGGTCCTATTTGTATTTATTATTCGTATTTACTTTGCGATCTACCTATAGCTGCGTGTCTCTTGCTAACTTTGGCGTTTCCGATTGGTAGATTCAGTGCACACCGAGTGTATTTGCATCCTTTTAATCGACCTGTAGAAGAAAAAGACAGAAATAGAAAAAATTGCACTAGTTCCTCACTAGATCTACCAATCGGAAACGCCATTAACTCTTTTTGCACTATGTTCGACATCGGAAACTTCCTGCCAGTCATAGTTTTCAAAAAAATGAGGCGAAAAGAGCTAAAGGGAGTCAGCAAGCCAAATGCAGTTGAACATTAAAAATTATTTAAAAATAATAAAAATATATAAAAAAAAATAATTCGCCTTTTTGTCAAGAATGCTCGATTAGTTGGGTTTTCAGTCAACGATGGCGCTGTAATTCATAACCTGTACATAACATTGCAGATACTTTTCTAGAGGTGATATGTTTTGTGCCCTTAGTAAGTAACCCCTCGGCTACGTCATCACGGTCAGCCAGCAGAGCGTTGCCGTCAACGAGCAGCTAACCTCTAAAGGTAGGCGCCCACTGATCCGCGTCGAACGAGCCGCACGCCGCACCCGTCCCACGAAACGCAAGACAAGAAAACACCGTTCGGGCGTTTGCATTTCAGATTTTTAACATGATGCAATCAAATTAAAATAATTGAGTTCAAGTCAGTGATTATCCTGCTTTTAGTAAGTCCCCCAAGGTGTGGGCCCTGGCGCCATGGTTGCTACGGCGCTGCCCGAGGCCTTAAAAGAAACTTTTCGCGAATTAAACCCGGACTGACACATTAGGTACTACAGTACCTACTTTAACTCAAACTGGACTGAACTAACTACTCAACTGATGATCTCAACTGAAACCGCTGTATTTATATTATTCGATCCACCCAAAATTTCTTTGTCCATTACAATTAAGAGGATGATGTAATTTTCCTGGTTTATCGGGGTCACAGATTTTGTATAAGAATGTGAGGACAACTCAAAGAAAACCGACAAGCACGCGCGGGCCATAAATCACCTATTTAATTACTTTGGCCTCGCTTTTAATATGTTCATTGATTTGATTTAGGAGATGACATCACGCTTGGTGACTAAATAATAGAATTTAAACGTATATAAATATTTTAATTTAATTTAGGGTCAACGCTAATTTGTTTCATTTTCAATTTATCGATACTGATTTGAAATACCGGAAATTCAGTTTTTGATTATTTGATTACATTTAATTTTCACAGTAAAGACATTGTTAATATCGGGACTATTTTTCCGGATCTTTACACAACAAAAAGGCCTTTATACCTAGGTTCAAGCTTATTTCTACTCCTCCCCAACCGTACTTGAATGATACTCTTGTTCGGCTTGAGTAGTGGCTCGGGTGAAGTATTGAATGGGTTTCAGATTATTATCGCTCTATTTTTGAAATAGTATTGCTCCCAATCTTATTTTGCTAGCGTCACAGTGGACTTCGATTTCAGCCTCCTTGTTGTATATTGCCAGTATGGGTCTCCCTACAAGCTTTTTCTTTAAATCCTCAAAAGTAATTTTCCGTTTCATATTCCAGACAAAAACGGAGTTTTTCTTGGTAAGTGAATAAATTGGTCTGGCAATGGAGACGAATTCGTTTATAATTTTCTGAAATAACTAGCTAGCCTCAAAAATCTTCTAACATCATGAACGTTATTGGGTGTTGGAAATTCAGCCACGGCTTCAATTTTACCCACACCAGGATGTATACCGATATTAGATACTTCATGTCCTAAATATGTTCTGTTGAAAGAAATACCACTTATTCAACCTAAGTGAAAAACCGGCTTATCTAAAAATATTTACAATCTGTTTCGTTTCAGCTTTTTAAATCCATCTGGTAATGATATTGATGGTATTAAAACGTCGTCCAAATATGCCATAGTTGTTTCAAATCGGAAAGAGACCAAGACTTGGTTTATTGTTCTCTAAAAAACCGCAAGAGCATTTACAAGTCCAAATGGCATTCGCAGGAACTTGTAGTGTCCATCTGGTGCTACAAATGCAGTCTTCGGAATTGATTCTTCATACAATGGGATCTGATGGTATCCAGATGATAGGTCTAGGGTCGTAAAATAGATGTGAGAGTCCAGGAAGTCATCGATCGCCTTGGTAATTGGTATTTATCTTTCAGCGTTTTACTATTTAAGACTCTATAATTTATGCACATGCGCGGCTCACCATTCTTCTTGTCCACCAGTAGGACATGGCATAAGGTGAAGATGAGTCACGGATAATATCATTTTTCATGAGGACGTAAACTATTCCTTTTACAACTGCCCTCTCAGAAATTGACATTCGATAAGGGCGATACTTAATAGGAATATCATCAGTTAGCGATATCGCCATTTCTGTGGATTTTCTTTTTCCAATGTCGTCTACATTTGTGGCAAAACAATCACGGTATTCATTAAGAAGGTCTAATAACTGTTTAAAATCGGTTGTATTGAGCTTGGAATTTTCTGAATTTCGTAACTTCAGTTGTTAATATCACATGTATACAATCCACATATACAAAGGTATCAATTTCTTCATAACAGATGTACCTAGCCCCTAAAAAAATTGTTCGTCGGTTTTTAACTGATACTTCTTTGTATGAGGAGCGAGAGGGTGCTTCATATGGCAAAAACAGGTGTAACGTCAGGTAACCATTGGCGTTCTAATGTACGGAGCCACCAGCTCACATTCCGCCCGAGTATAAGATTAACATCGACAGACAATACCTCAAACCTAAACTGTAAATTAAAGATAGTTTATTGAAGACAAGAAATATAGTTTATTTAACAAAATTATTATAGTAATAGACAATAAGAAAATACTCGATAGAGTGTTTTTGTCATGTTGACCAACTGCTTCGTGTAACATGACTACCTGAGGCCAGCAAGAAAGGGTCCGCTGTCCCTTGTTCTTCAAAACATCCTTGTCTGTGAAACGTGCTGGCGCATACATTATACAGTATCTGAGAACCCAAGCTGCACCTTCATATTGGTGGTTGCAGTTCGGTTACCTTCCGTTTCCATTTGTTCCTCTTCTGAGATTTGATTTCGGGGTATCATCCCCTTCATTGCTTTTACTGTTTGTTTTCATATTTGATCCCACAAGTAGCTAGGTAACGGCACAGCCCCGCATACCGTGAAGGCTGGAGACTATGGGATGTCGCCCGGTGTTCCAGAGGCTCCGTTGTCGACAGCTGATTTTGGGCGCAGTTGCCATTCATCCCACGGCACGGTTTGCTTACCCAGCTAAGATTGAGCCTCAAGGTCACACTACATATATTAGAGATGGAGGGTTCAAGGTCAAGGTCGTGTGACGTCAAGGTGGTATCACCTGTAAGGCCATTTGTGCACAGCATATTTCAAGATCAAGTGGGCGAAGCCAAAGTCAAGGTCAGGAGGCTAAGCCAAGGTCAAGGTCAAAGGGTGGCGGGGTTGTGCACGCTACTATCCTTCCATAATTTAATAGTGCTGGGTGTTGAAAATGTAAACTACTTTGGTTTAATGCTTTAAATTGCTTTATTACAGTATCAACTACTCAATCAAGGTCCATGATTCATTTAGCCCGCCATCGTTCGATAAATAATAGCAACAAGCTCATTGTACAGCCAATGCTCAAGCAAACCAATAAAATGTAAGTTTCTTCAATTCCTGTACTAACATCATAATTGTGATTGCAACTAGGTTTCTTTGTATGCCAAAAAGTTATTTCTTTTTCCATAACGCCACTCTCAGCTATACAATGTAAACTAGAAAGAGAAAATTGATTTTAATATTCTGGCATAAAAAAGCAACTCACTTACCATACATCCATTATGTCTCTAAACGGTGAATGTTTAACATAATTAGCATAAGCTCTAAGAGGCTCAAACAGCTTGATTTCTTTAATCTGACAAAGTTGTTCTTGAAGATGCTCTTTCATAAAAGGATAAGCCTTAGCTAATTCAACCAAAATAGCGAAGTGTCCGAATTTTACTTGCTCCAAGCCTTTGATAGTATCCAAATAAACTTGCTTCTCTTTACCCTGAATTGCAGTTTTGTATAGTTTCAGCGAAACATTATCTGATGCATAATGCTGAATAAAAATTTTAATAAATAACTCCAAGTCTAAATTCCTAATTACTCACCTTAAAATATTCCTTGTTGAACCGTATATTTTCAAGTCCAATTTTGAAATTGGCATTCATTATGTCTTCAACAGAATCAATCAAGTCCAGGGGTACATTTAATAATGAAGAAAATAAACTTCCTGAATAAAATACATAGACAAAAAATGATAAATTCAATATGAACAATATTGCTAGTTTGCCAGAAAGTGTAGTCGGAGTTAAAATGGAGCCTAGAATGAAGCATTATTAGGCAATTTAAAAAAAAAAAAAAATATCACCTTGTTGTGCTACAATTCCAATTACACACAGAACAGGATGGAACCATTGCGAATCAAAATTACCAGCAATATTAATCATTGTCATTCCTTTTATAATAAAAACTGCCAAAATGGTAAAAGCCAGGCAGCCAGTACCAACAATTTGGGGATAATGGACGAACAAATATTTCAAAGATTGCTTTGGATTTGGGATTTAGCAAAATGAAAGATGTTCTGGAAAATGACACAGTGAATATTTTGATTTTTTCGTATTTTTTTATACGATCTCAATTGAAACTGTTTGGAAATTATGGTTAGTAGGTATATATGTAGCTAGGTACTTATTTACTCTCCTGACAATGAAGACAAACATACAGACCGGTTTCGAGCCCATCCCATTAATTTTCTTCTAATGAGTGACCTGTTCAACAGCTCGAGGAAATGAAGTTGTAAGAAAAGGAAAATCCAACCAAAGTTTTTATTCTCCATAATCCAAACCAGGCTTTATGGTTCTTCTGTGAGGGAAAAATCCTTCCACAGAGGGTTAAGCAGGGGGAGAAAGTTCAGAAGAAGATTGGAAATGTAACAGCCCAAGGACGTCCTTAAGAAGAATTAAGACCTAAGGATCTTCAGTTGGGAGGCGCTCATGCAAAGTTGATACCTACAAATGGAAGGAAAAGTATGGAAATGCCTAGCTTCCCAGACAAAGCAGGGGAATATAGATCTAGCCAGAAACTTATCCAAATTAAATTCCAAAAGAAGAACTCCTCTTGGAATTAAATTTTCACCTCCACTCTGAGATATGGACTACTACTTCAATGTATATCCATATTAGTTCCACTATCCATAAATGCCGTAGTTTTATTTGTGATCCGATGTTTCAATCAAGATCGTATAATTAAAACCTCTCAAACCTTGCAAATTGAGTGAACCTCCCATACGTAAGCACATTAGCACGAGTAAAAGGAACTATACCAAAATCCACAATATTTCTTGCCAAATCTCTTGCTAATCAGTCCAATGTGCCATCCGGCTTTTGGTAACCAAAAAGAGTTGTCACATTAACAATCGTCAGGCTGAAACGATCGTTTTATAAGTGAAAATGTCTGTGAGTGTTTCTTGGAGAATTCGCCATGACATTTATGGTAACTTTTTAAGTGCAAGAAACTAATTTAACTATTCATAATGAATAGAATCAAGATGTTGATAATTCATTAATTTTTGAAAATATTTATTTATGTAATTGTGATAAAGTATCTAAATACTCTCTTTCTCTAGTATTTTTCAATTGATAGCTACAAACCTAAACTGATAATGTTCCTGACAATATCTCATCAATTTAGCATGATATCGACTATAGGTGTTGTATTGCTTAAGATCAGTACTTTCCAAATATTGTTCGGGAGTTCCTGGATAAGGCTCATGAAACTGAAAAATTGAAAACCCAATATGTATATTTATTACACAAAACAAAATATTTACCACAAGTGTAGTTTTGAATGTCACCCCTCTCAAATCTTTACGTCGAAAAAATTTATTATCCAAACCATCGACCTGATAACCGTTTGAACTGTTAAAAAATCCAATTTTTTCAATAACAGGATTCCCACCCTTCAATGAGGCAGGATTGAAAAACTCAAAAATATCGTGTTGATTTTCTAACAGAGGATTATTTTTGAGAACAAATATATTTGAATCTACATTGTGGTCAACTTGGGAGAATAGATTTGGGATATTTTTGTCGGTGAATATCAGCCAATAGTATTTTAAGTCGAAAAATTTATTATTACTGCACTGAAATATTAATTTGTGTAGAAAATTGTATATTATTATATATCCTTACAAATAAAAGCATTTCTTTAGATTTTTCACAGTTACCATCAGGCACAATTCCAAGCCTTCCGTGTCTGATTTTCAAAAGATTAACATGTTCAGGTAGTTTTTGAATGTTGGATGTTAAAGCCATTTGATTTTGGCTTGAAATAATATTTTTTTTTTACTACTAACCTGAGAAATAGACATTATTCAATCTATTTTTCTAAGAAAAAATTGAATTTCTCTCCCTAGGTTAATAATGAAAATAATGAAAAAATACCTAGGTCAATAATGAAAATGACGTCATGACGCAAGGATATTGTCATGTTTCTATTGGTTCCATTTCAATTTTATACGTCAATTTGAAAAAAAAATACAGGTTTCTGTAGGTACATAGCAAGTTCTATAAGCTGTTGATAGAGGGCAGCACTATCAAGAGGGCGTTCACAAAAAATAATTAGAACACAGATTTTAAACAAATTTTTTATTTTCTACTAGCAGTAGTAAAAAAAATTCTATATATTCCTCGGTAGAGAAAGTCATTATATACCTCAAGCATTATAAACCTCGGCGCTGCGCGCCTCGGTTTATAAAAGCTTTCGGTATATAATGACCAACTTCTCTACCTAGGTATATAATATACTATTAAAAGCTGTACTCGATCTAAAATCAAAAATGTAATAATGGGATAATGAATCAATTTTATGTAAGTAGGAAAGTAGGTAGGTATTACCTTTTTTACTGTAACAAGACACTATTACAGCATGATTTATGGAATGTTGTCGGTAAAATCCAGTCATAATACTATGTTGAATTAAGGAAATACACATAGAATCATTAAAAATCGATATAAAAAAAATGTTCAAGATAATTCTGAAACATTTATGCATTCTTGGCGCATCACAGTAGACAACTTCTAATGAAATAAAGTTTATTGAATTTAATTGTGGTTTTGAACTGTCATAAGTGATTGAAAATATGTGAAATAATTGAAATCAAAATGTGGAATTTTTAACAAAGTTAGCATCGAAAGTTGTCATATATACATAATATACCCTTACCACACATATAGGTACATATACATACCTACCCTTCAAATCTCAGAATAATTTAGTGTATGGAGTTTGGGGCATCCCAAATGATTATTTAAACACAAAATCTTAACATAAATGTGACAGAACTAGCTATTGCCCTTTTTTGGGCTTTAGTTAAACCGCACCAGGGTTGTCAAAAGTTTTTACTTTGACTGACTGTAAAAATTAACCTTTAGGTGTTGGATCATTTAGGCCTTGTATTGGGTTAGGGGTGCCTTGATTCAAATTTATACAAATAAAACGCTGAAATAAAATAGTTATCAATTTAATTAATAAATGGAAGTAATTCGGTATAGTCAGCAATCAAATCCTATCTAAAAATTCCTAATTGGACGTCCAGTCGAACTACAAATTCGGTCGTGCATTAAAACAAATTATTTCTGTGTTTCACGAGATTCTCGAAATTCGAGATTTCTCGTCTCGTCTCGTCTCGATTTCGAGACGAGATCGAGACGAGAATGAATTTTTTGTTTCGAGACGAGATCGAGAAAAACAGTTCGAGATTTTTCGAGATCGAGAAATTTTTTCGAGAATTCTTGATCTCGAAAAACTGTAGGTTGGTGCTACAATACCTTAAATATACAATGACGCTAAAGCACACATAACACACACTGCAACTTGCAATCTATCTATTATAATAATATCGTCAAAATAACATAAAGACGTAGAAGTAAGGGGTAGTGCTGCCCTGCACCCCGCTACTCCCGGGCCCGTTGGTTCTCGGTGGTCCTTATTTCAGCTCCGTTTATCGTTCGCAAAGCCATAAAATGTCATAAATTCAACCTTATTTCTATTGTATTATTCTTCAAAAATGTTAGTTCAAGCTAATATACAGGGCGAATTTGAAATAAGTGCGCATTTTGTTATGGCAGATAGAGTACAGTAGGACAATCACTTTTTGCATAGGTACATGTGACCGCAAACGTCTTGAGAAATTTTGTTCAATTTTTCAAAGAGTGTTTGCAATGTTTTCAAACATCTTTTTAAAAAATTCGTTTGAGTTCCACGTTCCACTTTTCCAGGACCGGACCTAGAGCGACTCTTATTTTGTCAGAAGAAAAAAGTGGTACACCCCTGGGCTTTTTGACAAATTGAAAACTATTTTTTTGATTCCCTATTTAATTTTAAGCAAAAAAGGGAACCCGACTTCTGCTTGTACGATGCGACGTTTACGAGATAAAAAATAGAAATCAATGTAATGTTTGGAAAATCTAGTTGTTCAATATACTCCACTCTGTTCACATTACACCGGAAACTGAAGAACAATGAAGTTAAAAAAGGTTATGTCATATTATTATATCGCAAACGCTCTCCGAAAATTTGAACAGAATCGCTCAAAGCCTTTTGAATCTAGAAGCAAAAAGTCAAAATTTTCCGAAAATTTCAACACTCTGTATTTTCTTAACGAGACGTTTGCGGACACCATGTTCCTATACAAAAAGTGATTGGCCTACTATACTCTATCTATTTATCATAACAAAATGCGCACTTATTTCGAACTCACCCTGTATAATCAGTTTGTTGCATGCAGGTGCATTCTTCACGAACAAAGAAACAATTTTAAACTTTCGTACCTATCTAGGTAAATTCTAAATTCATGGCTTAAAGATTAAATTTAAAAAAGATAAAGGATTTGTTAAATTTTCTGTATCAGATCTAAAATTTATGGCGTTTGGATGTTTTTGAATTTGGATCATTTCCTGAATTCTTCTCTTGTGATAATTACTTTCTTTTGTCAGTATTTTTGCATTTTCGAAGTCGAAATCATGTAGGTTTTGATGTGCGTGGTGTGTTAGTGCTGTTTTGTTCTCCTTGTCTTGTCTCAGGCTATATTTATGTTCGTATAATCTTTTTTTAAAATATTGTTTTGTTTGTCCTACGTATGTTTTATCGCAATCTGTACAATCAATTTTGTAAACTATATTTGGTGTGTCCATTTTGTTTGTTTCAGGTTTCAATTTTGTAAATATTTTTTCACTGGATAGGTTCTTTGTTGACTTTTCGGCAATTTGAATGTTGCGAGGTTTCAAAATTTTTGTTATTTTTTTATTTATTTCCGGAATGTAAGGAAGGAATATGTATTTAATATTATTTTCAACTTTTTGATAACTTGTTGGGTTATATATTTTATTAATTCTGTTCTTGATTATAGGTTCATAAAATTTTTTTGGATAACTATTTTTATTTAAAATTTCTCGGATTTTTATTAAATTTTGAGGTCTATATTCAGGATCTGATAGAATGATAGCTCGATCAGTCAGTGCTGTTACTACGCTTTTTTTATATTTTTGAGGGGCATATGAGTTGTAATTCAGGTATCTGCCTGACCATATATTTTTTGTATACCAATTTGTTTTGACTTTATTGTTATCTGTGTAATTGATTGTTAGATCTAAAAAATGTATTGTTTTATCTTGATCTATTTCAATGGTAAATTTTTGATGTTTTGTGAAATTTGTTAAATTGATCAAGGGTATATTGAATTTCATTTTCTGGTAAACACATAATGCAGTCGTCCACAAATCGTTTGAAAAATATGGGTTGATATTTTAATTTTTCTATAACTGTTTCTTCAAGGCATTCCATTACTAGGTTTGCTATTGTTGCAGATATTGGGGACCCCAATGCTACACCATATATTTGTGAGTAGAATTTATTTTCGTATTGAAAATATGTGGATTTGAGACATAGTTCCGTTGCTTCGATAAATTCTTTTTGGGATATTGTTGTGTGCTTTTTAATTTCTTCCCATTTATTTTTTATACATTCAATTGCATAATCAATTGGAATGTTAGTATACAAAGAGACTACATCCAGTGAAATTAATCGGTGGTTTTTTGGTATTGTTATATGTTTTATAAATTTTTGGAAATCCCATGAGTCTTTAATATAATAGTTTGATTTACCCAAAACATTTGTTATTATTTTGGAAAGGTGTTTAGACAATTGATAAGTTGGCGCATTTACGTTACTGACAATAGGTCTAAGTGGTATGTTAGGTTTATGAATTTTTGGTAGGCCATATATATGAGGTGCTTGGCCATTATAACAGCATAATTTATTTTTTAATTCTTCATTAATAAGTTTATTTTTAAGCCTTGAGTTTACCATTTTATTAATTTTTGTTTGTATGATTGATGTTAAGTTATTTTTTTCCTGTTTATATATGGTGGTGTCACTTAGTAAGGATGTCATTTTAGTTTGGTATTCTGTTTTCAACATTATTATTGTTTTATTACATTTATCTGCAGCTAGAACCATTAGTTCAGAATTTCTCTGTAGGAATTGTTTGGTTTCTGTTATAAAATGATTTACTTGACTTTTTATATTTTTTCCAGAGTTTTCGATTTTATTTTTATAGTTAGTTAAGATGTTACATAGTTTGTTTCTAATTTCATTTTTAGTATCAGCATTTAATGAAAAAATACCACATTCTACATTTGTTATTATGTTGTCAATTGGTGTACACCGATTTTGTTCAATTGCAAATTTTGGACCTAAAGTTAGAACAAATTCAACTGGTTTTGGAATGTTTACAGTCGTTAAATTCTTAATCCAGTTCTCATTTATATCGTATTGGTTTATTAAAATTGATTGTTTTTTTGTTAGATTTTTAATTTTATTTTTTTGCTTTGTTTTAACTTTTTCAAAGAAATCTTCATATTTTTTGTTTTGTAGTTTGTAAAAATTTTCAAAATTGTTTTGGCTATTTTTGTTCTTTAATTTTTCCCTCGTATTGTTTATTTCCTCATTCATTCTATTATTATTTGAAACGCATTCACTCAAGCAAATATTCAGACATTGGAGATAAAAAGTTTTTAAGGCTTTCAGATATTTAACATAATAATTTTCTTTTTTAAAATTAAAGTTTTTTTGTTTTACCTGTATAAATTTTGGTACAATATTAAGATTTTTACATCTAGTTAGAAAGTTTTTTCTGTTTTTTCCCTTGGCTATTTGTATGCTTAGTTTCTTGAATTTCTTCTTCAAATAACAGTCCTGTGTAGAACTGTCCATGCCTTGGAACCCTGGCATTATTTATAATTAATTGGTAGTTTTCCTGACCGTCAAGTTTAGAAAATAGTTTTCTTCTTTCCTGGGATTCGGTCGTGCATTAAAACAAATTATTTCTGTGACGTTTCGGTATCTTGTCTTTGTATTTTGTACTTTGTCATTTTACTCGCTTTGATTTTTGTTACGAAAAAAAGTTTTAGAGATAATTAATTGATAAGATTTATTTTAGAATTGTATGTCTGAAGATGGTAATAAAAATGCCGAAATAATTTGTTTTAATGCACGACCGAATCCCAGGAAAGAAGAAAATTATTATCATTATCAGATTTCGCTACTTTTTATAAATCAAGATACTTTACTTTAGAAAGCTTTGCTTTAGATTAGTGTAAAATACAATAAAAAAAATTGAAATTTCATCCGGGTCAAAGGTCACTTGCAAGGCCATTTGTGCAGAGCCATAAGTCAGTCAGGACATTTAGCCAAGGTCAACGTCAAGGTCAAGGTCGAAGGGTGGTGTGGTAATGCATACTACTATCCTTCCATAATTTAATATTGCTGGGTGTTGAAAAATATAAATTGCTTTATTTTAATGCTTTAAAGTGCTTTATTACAGTATCAACTATTCACTCAATGGTTCATTTAGCCCGCCACCCGCCACCGTTCAATTAATAATAGCAACAAGCTCATTGTACAGCCAACGCCCAAGCATACTATTAAAACGTAAGTTTCTTCAATTCCTGTGCTAACATCATAATTGTGATTGCAATTCGGTTTGTTTGTGTGCCAAAAAGTTATTTCCTTTTCCATAACGCCACTCTCAGCTATACGATGTAAACTAGAAACAGAAAATTGATTTAGACATCGATTTCAATATTGTAGCATAAAAAAAAACTCACTTACCATACATCGAATAAGTCTCTAAACGGTGAATGCTTAACATAATTAGCATAACATCTAGTATTCTGGAACAACCTGATTTCTTTAATCTGACAAAGCTGTTCTTGAAGATGCTCTTTCATAAAAGGATAAGCCTTAGCTAATTCAACCAAAAAAGCATAGTGTCCGAATTTCACTTGCTCCAAGCCTTTGATAGTGTTCAAATAAACTTGCTTTTCTTTACCCCGAATTGCAGTTTTGTATAGTTTCAGCGAAACATTATCTGATGTATACTAAATAAAAATTAATGTAACTCCAAGTCTAAATCCTAGTTGCTCACCTTAAAATGTTCCTTATTGTACCGTATATTTTCAATTCCAATTTTGAAATTGGCATTAATTATGTCTTCAACAGAATCAATCAAGTCCAGGGGTACGTTTAACAATGAAGAAACTAAACTTCCTGAGTAAAATACATAAACAAAAAATGATAAATTCAATATGAACAATATTCCTAGTTTGCCAGAAAGTGTAGTCGGAGTTACAATGGAGCCTAGAACGAAGCATTATTAGGCAATTTATGAAAATAAATAAATACCACCTTGTTGTGCTACAATTCCAATTACACACAAAACTGAATGGAACCATTGCGAATCAAAATTACCAGCAATATTAATCATTGCCATTCCTTTTATAATAAAAACTGCCAAAATGGTAAAAGCAAGGAAGCAGTACCAACAGTTTGGGGATAATGGACGAACAAATATTTCAAAGATTGCTTTGGATTTGGGATTTAGCAAAATGAAAGATGTTCTGAAAAATGTCAAGGTATATATAATATTTTCGTATTTTTTTATACGATCTCGATTGAAACTGTTTGGAAATTATGGTGAGTAGGTACAGCTATATTATTATGTTAGTATGTCAACTGAGACCGAGTTTAAATACAAATTCAACAAAACGCCTTCAAGATTATCATATTAGAATACGACAAACTTCCAAGCCTCTCTAAGCCAGAAACTCCGTTAGAGTACTCCGAAAGCATTGAAGAGCAATGGAAAATATTGAAAATCGCAATAACATCTGCCTCGGAAGAAACGGTCAAGACTGGTTTGATGAGAACGACACTGAAATTCAAGACCTTGTGGAAAGGAAAAGAAAAGCGCATAATACATGGAAAAGTAAGTAACACAAATAATACAAATTAGTTCTTAGAAATAATATGGAGAGTATTTTCGACCATTCCTTTGTGTAAAAACAATTATTATTGGTAGGGCCTAAGCTAGGTACTTATTTATTCTCGTGACAATGAAGACAAACATACACTTGAATGTCGCTAAAAACAGACTGGTTTTGAGCCCATCCCATCAATTTTCTAATGAGTAGATAAGTATACCTGCTCAACAACTGGTGGCAAATCAAGCTGCGCTTCTTATATAATCATGGAGTAGTAGTAAGAAAAGGAAAATCCAGCCAAATTTCTAATTCTCCATAATTCAAACCAGGCTTTATGGTTCTCCTGTCAGGATGAGTCAACATCGAAAAATCCGTCCAAAGAGGATTAAGCAGGGGGAGAAAGTTCATAAAAATATTGTAAATGTAGCAGCCAAAGGGTCCTCAATTAAGGGCCTTCAGTTGGGAGGCCTTGATACCTATATAAAATGGAAGGAAAAGTATGGAAAGGCTTAACTTCTCAGACAAAGAGAAAAGCATAACATAGATCTAACCAGAAACGTATCCAAATTAAATTCTAAAAGAAAAACTCAAAGTCTTCCTCTTTGGAATAAAAATTTCATCTCCACTTTGAGACATGGACTACCTTTTTAATGTATCCAAATTAGTTCCACTATCCATAAATTTTGTAGTTCTAGTTGTGATGCGATATTTCAATCAAGATCATATAGTAGAAATCTCTCAAACCTTGCAAGGTAAGTAAACCTCCCAAACGTAATCACATTAGCACGATCTTTACGTACAGCAAGAGGAACTATACCAAAATCCACAATATTTCTTTCCAAATCTCCTGCTAGTCCGTCCATTGAGCCATCTGGCTTTCGGTAACCAAAAAGATTAGTCACATTAACAATCGTCATGCTGAAACGATCGTTTTATAAGTGAGAATGTCTATACAGTTTCACTAAGAATAATTTTCTTGGAAAAATCATGACATTTATGGTAACTTTTTTAGTGCAAGAAACTAATAGAACTGTCCATAATGAGTAGAATCAAGATGTTGATGATCCATTCATTTTTGAAAATATTTAATTATGTAATTGTGATAAAGTATACTCTCTTTCTCTAGTATTTTTCAATTGATAGCTACAAACCTAAACTGATAATGTTCCTGACAATATTTTATCAATTTAGCATGATATCGACTATAGGTGTTGTATTGCTTAAGATCAGTACTTTCCAAATATTGTTCGGGAGTTCCTGGATAAGGCTCATGAAGCTGAAATATTGAAAACCCAATGTGTATATTTATTACACAAAACAAAATATTTACCACAAGTGTAGTTTTGAATGTCACCCCTCTCAAATCTTTACGTCGAAAAAATTTATTATCCAGACCATTGACCTGATAACCGTTTGAACTGTTAAAAAATCCAATTTTTTCAATAACAGGATTCCCACCCTTTAAAGAGGCAGGATTGTAAAACTCAAAAATATCGTGTTGATTTTCTAACAGAGGATTATTATTTTTGAGAACAAATATATTTGAATCTACATTGTGGTCAACTTGTGAGAAGAGATTTGCGATATTTTTGTCGGTGAATATCAGCCAATAGTATTTTAAGTCGAAAAATTTATTATTACCGCACTGAAATATTAATTTGTGTAAAAAATTGTATATTATTACATATCCTTACAAATGAAAGTATTTCTTTGGATTTTTCGCAGTCACCATCAAGCACAATTCCAAGCCTTCCGTGTCTGATTTTCAAAAGATTAACATGTTCAGGTAGTTTTTGAATGTTGGATGTTAAAGCCATTTGATTTTGACTTGAAATAACATTTTTTAAAAGCTGTACTCGATCTAAAATCAACAATGTAATAATGGAATAATTAATCAATTTTATTTAAGTAGGTATTACCTTTTTTACTGTAACAAGACACTATTACAGCATGATTTATGGAATGTTGTCGGTAGAAGCCAGCCATAATACTATGTTGAATTAAGGAAATACACATAGAATCATTAAAAATCAATATAAGAAAAATGTTCAAGAAAATTCTGAAATAATTATGCATTTTTGAGACACCACGGACTACGGACAGTAGACAGACAACTTCTAATGAAATAGAGTTTATTGATTTTAATTGTGGTTTTGGACCGTCGTAAGTGATTGAAAATGTGTGAAATAATTGAAAGGAAAATATGGAATTCTTAACAAAAGTTAGCATCAAAAGTTGTCTTGTGTTATATAGATTAAATTATAGATATCGACTTTATACATACTTTATTTATGTCCCTACTTGTTTTTTTTTTTGAATATGGAGAAGGCCGATATACCTACTTAGGCAGGTATATACCTACTTTTAAAGATAAATTTCTAAAAATTATGAAAAATTAGGATATAGAGGAATCTGAAATGTTCAGAGAATCTTATTCTAGTGAAGGATTACAAACCCTGAAAATTTCAGGTTATTTGAAGTTATATATAGTTCCAAGATTCCAAGAGATATCTGTGGTGATCCCGCTCAAGAAAAAAAGTAGAAATTTAATAATTTTAAAAATTTTCCGCTACTCTCACAATAGCTCAAAGTATAGAGTTAAGACGGTACCAAACGATCATTTGATAATTTGAAATTTCAACATTTTTGTACTCAGGTAGGTACCTACTTACAGTTCTAGAAATAAAATCGCGTTAAGCAATTTGGGGTGTATTTTTCAATTTTTCCATTTTCCTGACGTCCTTTTTCGAAGATTTCGGCTTCAAATGTCATAATAATTTAGTGTATGAAGTTTGGGAGGTTCCGAATAATCATTTAAAGACAAAATAAATAAGCATAAGTAAAAAAATCTCATCATTTTAGTACCTACTGATGTAATTTCTTTCTAGAGACGTACATTTTGGCTCCAAATACCACAATAATTCAATGTTTGATGTTAATGTTGGATAATCATTTAAAGTCAAAAGAAAAATTAGAATTTCAAAATGTTTGTACAAATAATGTACTCAAATAAAAAGAAAGATGAACCCAGAAAGCTTAATATTAGATAGGTAGCTGAATAGTTAAATAAGTATAATTCTGCTACATCTTCGATACATGATTATGATATAGTAGGTATTCAGACGGATTAGGCCAATCAATTTTCAATATAGGTACAATCAAGATAATATTTTTTTTTATTAGGGGTTTAAAAGATAATATAAAAATCATTATCCATATCCATGAGTAATAAACGTAAAATAAAATTGATTGACTTTTTGTATAAGAATCTAACAAAAAATTTATTTAGTTCCTAAAAACTCAAATTCACATATTGTCAAATATTGTTTATTTCCTTCCTATAGCTTGACATAGTTAGTCATATGTATAAGCTTTGTTTTATCTCCCGCATATCAATACAAAACAAAAACCCAATGATATAAAACCTAAATAAGTGGGGCAGATTAGGTATAGTAGGTATACAATAATTTTATTTTAAAACAGGTGAACAAGGTGATATTTTGAGCGGAACCATTTGCGACCAAACAGGATGTCCTCTCTGCGGACATAATAATAATTATTATGGGATTCTAATATAGGTACATCCAACTCGTGACTAATTTACCTAGTTAAAAAAAAAAGTGATTATCAGTGTTTGAGTGCTGTGTGAATTAATTGTACCTGCTCATATTCAGCGTTAATTAGGAAATATGACTGATATGGAACCACTGATAACAGTTAATGACTTGCCTTTGACTTTTGTAGTTAAATATTTAGGTAAGTGTACTTATTCAAAATTTTAATTACCAATGCCATATATTTTTTTTTCCACAAGAGTGGCTTTTGAGTATTTTGAAGCTTAAAAAGTTCAATTTTTTATAGTGAGGCGCGCTATGAAGATCTATTGCGTCTTATTAGTACCAAGGTATAATAACACCAATTTCCACTTTTTGATCTGATTGGCATAATATACATCATGTGCCTCTTTTACACCAAATTTTTCCCTTATATTCAAATATCTCGAAATTAAGAAACACTCTTATAGCTCTAATCAACAAATTTCACTTCAAAATGCTGTATTTTGGAACGTTCTAAATGGCTTATTGAAGTTACTGAAGAGTTCTGAAACATTTTAGAAGTTTTTCAGTAGGTAATTTCTAAATAATTGTTCTGATAGATTTTCAAGTACCAACATATTTAAAATCTCTATATTGGAGCTCCAAAGTATTCTAAGTTGGTTCAAAAGAGTTTTAAAAGGTGCTCCTGAAAATTCTGATCTGGACTGTTTTGAATAAGCATCCAGCTTTAAAGTTCTAAGCAATTTAAATTCGCTCTTGAAAGTCTTCTGAAAGACGTTTTGTAACTTTCAACCTGAATCCTAAGATTCTGGCGCTTTTCAGAATGTTTCTGAAGAGAGAGTGTTTGGAGTGTTTTGGAGCGTTCTAAAATGGGTTTCAAACTTCTGAATTGTTCTAAAATGCTTTTGGAAATTGTAAATCGCTTTTCGAATATTTTGGAACATTCTGAATGGTTCTGAAGTTTCCAAATAGTTCTGGAGCGCTACAGAATACTTTTAGATATTCTGAATTGAATTTTAAGTGAACTTTCCAAAAGGCTTCTTAAAGTTCTAAAGTGTTCAGTCGCATTTTAAATGGTTTCCAGTAACTTCTAAATTGAAGCAGAAGCGATTTACGAGAGAAGTTTTTGTAGACATCTTAAAAACATCCGTAAAGATGTCCACAAACGACATTCAAGACGTTTTTTAGACGTCTGCTTATGTATTCAAGGCTTCTTGAAAACGCCGTATGTTTTAAAAGCCCCAACGTCTTTCAAACGTCTGCCTAAAAACGTTTTCATGACATTTCTCCAAGACATTCAACGAGATGTCTTAAAAACGTCTTTGAATCTCTTTGTAATACATAAACCATTATTCACCTTTAGACCCGGTTGTACCAAATAGTTTGGCTTAGTTTTCTTTAAGATGTGAATTTACGACATCTTATGGGCGTCTTTTTTTTGGTCTGCAGACGTCCGGACGCAATACAGACCTAAAAGGAATTCTTGAAGACTTTGTGTGCTGTTAGGTTAGCAGATTCAATCCAGCCTCAATAGTTCCTGAACTGCGATGTTTCAAATTCTTTCAACATTGAATTTTATCAAGATGTGTGAGCAGAAGGAAATTTCTATTTTTAGTCTTGAAATTTAATCTTTTCTCTATTCACTTACAAAATTTATAATCCAATCTTTGGAACATTTTCCTGAAAGAATAAATGAAGTGTCCGTTTTCTGGAAAAATTTGATTTTTTTTTTAAATCACTTTGCCATACCTATATTTTGTCTTACAACTTTGTTAATTTCAATCGGATCTTAATGTAACCAGGCTCAAACTGAGGTTCAGCAAATCTTCTACAAATCTCTAATTGATAGTTTCAATGCAGCTTCAAGAGTTGCGCAACTGCGAAGCTTCAAAGTCTTTCAATTTGGATTTTTATCAAGATGAGTGGGCAGCCTTCCGTGAGGATTCAATTTCTTGAAGAAAATGTTTGAAGGATTGCTTTTAAATTTTCGAAACAGGTAGAGGAAAGATTGAAATTCAAGATTGAAAACAATAATTCCGATGTTCTTTGGAAATTTGATTTTTTCTCAAAATGACCTCGACATACATTTGACTTAAGTATTTACACTTTTGTTATAATTTCAATCGAAACATAACGCTAGACTCCTCAATTTAACACTAACTGAATCATTCACAAGCCTATAGTTAATAGATTCAATAATTTAGCTCTTACAGTTTTGCATAGTGGAAAAAAAAAGAAAATTTTATTTTTGGAAAAATGTATACTTATAAGGCCTCCACAGACTGCGTTTTTGTTTGACGGTTTTGTTCGACGAGCAAATCTGGTAGAGCAAAAACGACGGATCGGAGTTGTCCACAGACCTCGGTTTAGTTTGGCGAATATCAGTCATGTTAAAAAGTTTTTAACCTTAAAATTCTGTAGCTACGCACCACACACCACATAAAACCGTCGTTTTTAAAATGCGTAGCCCACACACTTCAGATTTGTTGACATATCGAACATATCCGACGGACAAAATCAGGCGAAGCCAGATATTTGCATCGGTTTTGTATGCCAGCAAAAATGACAATTTTTCGCACACACACTTCGGTTTTGCGTCGTTTTTGCTCGACCAGATTTGCTCGTCGAACAAAACCGTCCAACAAAAGCGCAGTCTGTGGGGCCCTTTACTGTGTTTCTCATTTTTCTTTTGTTAATTTTTATTTTTATTTTTTTCGTCTCAATTTCTGTTGATTTTTAAGTTCTTGAATCTTGTACCTTCTTACTAAAACGATGAAATTTCAAATTTTTTTTTGTTGAGATTTTGTGTCCTAATGGTCCTTCGTGATCCTCTGAACTCCATAAACTAAATTATTCTCAGATTTGAAGCCGAAATCTATGAAAAAAGGCACTCAGAAAAATTGAAAAATTGATAAAACACCCCAAATTCCTTATAACACGATTTTATTTCAGGAACTGTAAGTCCAAATGAGTTGAAATTTTCAGGGATTGTAGCCGCCAGTGGGATAAGAATCGCTGAAAATTTCTAATAGAAAAAAAAATCATCTTCTTCTTACTAAAACGATGAAATTTCAAAATTTTTTTGTTGAGATTTAGTGTCCCAATGGTCCTTCGTGATCCTCTGAACTCCATAAACTAAATTATTCTCAGATTTGAAGCCGAAATCTATGAAAAAAGGCACTTAGAAAAATTGAAAAATTGATAAATCACCCCAAATTGCTTAACACGATTTTATCTCAGGAACTATAAGTCCAAATGAGTTGAAATTTTCAGGGATTGTAGCCCGCCAGTGGGATAAGAATCGCTGAAAATTTCTAATAGAAAAAAAGTTATGACCTTTCAAAGTTTTCCAAAATCTAAATCATAAGGTAGCTTACTAAAACCTGGGAAAATACATGAATTTAGAATCAAAAGAATATCGAAGAACATTCAAGGTCTTGGAATAGACAAAATATGGGAAATAGAGAGGAAAATTGAAAGAAAAATCTACTGTTCCTTGACTACAGTAGTTAATAAAATCACAAAATGTACAATACACGTGCGCTAGAGACTAGGAGAAGTAGGAGACAGCTGATAACAATAAAAGAAATAATTTTCATCATTGTGAACAAAGTTAGGGACCTTCCTCTAACTTACCTATATCAAATTAGGGTAGGCCTATCCAGTCATCCTTAAATTTTGCCTTGATAAAAAAACAATTCAAAAATCTATCCACAAAATATAGTTCCTTGCCCTTTCCGCATCGAGGGTCAAAAAATCCATACTTTTTAATATTGACAGCTCAATAGAAAATCTGTTATTGAACCGATTTTTAAATTGATTATTGAATCCAAGCAAATGATCAATTTTTATTGATCTATACAACTCAACTCAAGTACCTATTTACTTGTCTATATAGATGAGTGGAAAAAACATCATTCTAAACAACCTGCTAATGGCATTTGAGTTTAGCTCAAAATTTTAAAATAAATGCATCTTGATTTTTGCTTGAGTCATAGAACTTTATTAACAACTCAAGCACAATTGTGTATTTTTAGGTAATTTTCCAGCCAAAGGTCTATGGGGTATAAAGCACACAAGAAAACCCGTCGACTCTTTAGTATCTCAAGCGAAAAATCTACCACATGGCAAAATTCTTCCAATAGTATCAGTGGAAGTGTCACAAAGAGGCCTATCTTTCAAAGAACTTTCTGGTAAACATCAACAAGACTTTACTGTTGAAGTTATTTCGTACGGGGTACAAGATTTAGTTTACACAAGGGTATTTAGCATGATTATCGTGGCAGATGAAAGCTTAAAAAGCGGTAAGAACTACATAGAACACAAAAAGTTATAATTTTAACAAAACTAATCTTTTTTCAGCTACTCCATTTATATGTCACAGTTTCGTATGCGATTCCAGAGATCAAGCAAGAAGAATAACATACGCTTTGGCAGCAACATTCCAAGATTATGGCAGAAAGGTGAAACAAGAAGCCAAAGAAACTGGTAAACCTCTTAAAAGATTAGCTATTGATTTGAGAACGCCCGAAGAACAAGCGGAAGATTCTGATGGGGAAACTGACGCCTGATTTTAACAAATTTAAATATTATTTAGGTATAGATACACTAATTACAATTAAATAAAAAACATAGATATAATGAGACTCAATATTATATATTATATACTCAACAAAAATTAAAATTACAGGAATAAAAAAAAAATATTCTATAAGTAGGTATGTATATGTATTTTACATCAACAAGTGCCTGTCGAACCTCAACTCTTGCCTCAAGACCCCATCAAATACAGCTTCGGCTTCAATAATCTTGAAGTCAGGATTCTTTTTCAAAATCCTGCTATATTTGCTACGGTTTTCGGGACTGGAAATTATGTAGGTTCCTTCTGAGGGAGTTGAAGGGATTTTTGGTAAGATTTTTCCACCACAAGACTCAATTGCACCTAAAATGTATTTTTGGGTTTGAAATTGTTTTTGTATGAATTATTATTATTTACCTTTCAATACATCAACTGCATTGGTGACTTGAATAAAGAAGTTGTAGGATCTTAGCAGTTGAAGATCCCGGCTTTGAGTTAGGGATTGTTTCAAGGAAAAGCTCCATTTTTTCTCGGCTTCTGGATCGGTGAGTATGTAATCCCAGGGATCTGTGAAAATTGATTATTGAATATATTGAATATATGAAACAAAACCAGATGATAGTAGACAAATCTATCAATTGAGAGTTGTTCAGAGAAAAAAACATCTTACCTAAAAACTCTTGCACCTTTTTTGATTCAGTGATCCAATTTGGTGAGCAAATAGGCTTTCCAAGACCAATAGCAGTCAGTAGCTTCTGGGTTCTTTTGACGTTCTCGGTAATAAGGACTGTGCAGGATTCTACAGAGTCTACTATACTGCCACCTGATGGTAATTACGAAGTAACGATATTAATTTTGCTAATTATATGTACAGGGTGTGGAAATTATTGGAGCCACATCATTGGGATCTCGGAAACGGTGAGAGATACAGGGTTGGTTAAATTGGGGCAAAGTTGCGTAATTTGATGCTTAACAATATGCGGCTTTGACATTTAGGATATTCCGAATACTTACGGAGATATCCGGAAAAAAACCTAAATGCAAAATTGCTTTTATGTTTTCCTGACTTTATTTGAGGAGATATTTCAAAAAAAATATCTTTTCATCATAGCTACTTTTTCTCCCCTACGAGATGCTACCATCAAATTTGAAATCTGATGTTTCGTCTTTGAGCCACCATTATCAACTTTATTTTTTTAAATACGACCCTGGATTTTTTATTTCAGATTTTAAGAGCTTCTGATGTCCCAAAAGCTATGACGTATTGCATTTATTCGAAAAAATATTTTTTTTATTTTTTAGTAATTTCTTACCAAAATTCTCTTCTCTGTCTCTCTCTAACACATCAAGTTCTTATGGAAGGTGCCAATAATATAAATTTTTCGAATAAGTGCAATAGGTCATTGGTTTTGAGACATCAGAAGCTTATAAAATAAAAAATAAAAAATAGGGGTCCGTATTTAAGAAAATTAAGTTGATATGATGGTGGCCCAAAAACGAAACGTCAGATTTTAAATTTGATGCTAGCGTCCTGTAGGGGAAAAAAAGTGGCTATGATGAAGTGATATTTTTTTTGTAATATCACTTCAAATAAAGTCAGGAAAAAATAAAAACAATTTTGAGAAATTAGGGTTTTTTCCGGATATCTCCGTAAGTATTCGGAATATCCTAAATATCAAAGCGGCATTTTGTTAAGCATCAAATTACGCAACTTTGCCCCCATTTAACCAACCCTGTATATCTCACCATTTGCGAGATCCCAATGATGTGGCTTGAATTTGAAACACCCATGAATAAATAAATAATCAAGCAATAAATAAATACATTACCTAATTGTTTGATGAAAGACTCCAATTTTGGACTTTCCATCATTGTGAAAACAACTTTGGGTTTTTGTTTCCTTAAGCCTTTCTGCAAAGAAAATTCTTGGTTTAATGAATTTGATATAAAATCAAAACTTGAGCCTGTTTCTGGAACTCGAAATGTACAAATAAATCTAAACTTACTAGTGCAGTGCCAGGACTTTCAGGAACCGATTGCATTTTCTGTTTTTTTGTAGGGCTTGCAGTTGCTTCTACACCAGCATCATCATCATCATCTGTAAATTGTCTTTTCTTGGATTTTGCTGACCTGCTTGGCCCTGCTCTACTCTTTTCTGAATTTTCATTGTTAACATTTGCTTCTTCAACTTGCCTATTTTTACCTCTTGTTGTTTTCATTTTTTTATCCTCAGAAATACTATTGGTTGAAGTTGATGCAACCGGTAATATTGTCATTTTTTCAGTATTCTTTGTAGTTTGTTTGGATGTTTTACTCTCAGATTCCAATTCTGCAACTTTTCTTGTCCTTGTTTTAGATACTTTTTCTTCGTTGTCATTTTTCGCAATTTTCTTAGCAGGAACTTCTTGAGTTTTTTTAGCTGCTCTTTTAGATGTTCTCTTAATTATTTCCAACTGTACTTCTTCAACAGTCGCTACAGATTTGCTTTGCCTATTTTTTGGTACCTTTATTTTAATCTCTTCAGAGGATTTTACAGATTTTTTGGTTTTGTTGAATTTCGATTCTAATAGGGCTAACGATTTATTTTGTTCGGAATTTGAGGCGTTAAAAGAAGTGCTTTCTGTTTTAATGATGTTTGAAGTGCTTTCGGTAAGGAATTTTGGAATTAAATGTTCATCATCATTCAAGAATTTGTGAGATTTTTTTTTTATGGTACTATTCATTTTTTCGTTCCTTACAGAGAGTTCCTCAATTTTAATCTCTTCTGACTCTTTGCCCTTTTTTATGGTAAGCTTTTCAGTTTTATCATCTCTCTTTACAGTGAGTTCCTCTGCTGCATAATTTTCAGCATTATGCATTTTTTCATTCCTTATAGAGAGTTTCTTAAGTTTAGTCTCTTCTGACTCATTGTCCTTTTTTATGGTAAGCTTTTCAGTTTTATCATCTCTCTTCACAATAAGTTCCTCTGCTGCATTATTTTCAGCATTATCCATTTTTTTGTTCTTCTTTATGGTGAGTTTCATAGTTTTAGCTTCTTCAATATTAGCTGTCTCTTTGGTCTTTTTTGTGGTGAGCTTTCCAATTTTATTGTATTCACCATTATCTGAGCTTTCGGCTTTCTTTTTAGAGCATTTCACAATTTTATCTTCTTCAAAACTATCTGACTTTGAAGCTTTCTTTATTGTAAGTTTTTCAATTCTATTATCCGTAACATTTTCCAATTTGGTAGTTTTTTTATTGACGCGTTTCTTAGTTTTTGTTTCTTTGACATTATCCAACTCTTTTGCATCCTTTATGCTGAGTCTTCCACTTTTATCATCTTCAAGATTATCTGGCTCTCTCATGTCATTTATGCTAAGTTTTTCAATTTTATTGCTTTGCTCTTTGGTCTTTTTTATAGTAAGTTTCTCAATTTTTGTTTCTTCTGCTTTCTTGCTTGTCTTGGCCTCAGCCAAATCTGATATTGTTGCATCCAAATGGCTTTTCTTGAAGGAAAATGTTTTCTTTTTTTCATCTTTTTGAGGCGATTTAATACTAGATTCATCACGTGTAGTTTTTTCATGTTTGTCTTTTGCATAAGGTTTGCTGACAGTGTCAGAGCAGGCTGGTTGAGTTGGTGATGAGAAAGTGTCATCACCATCAATATTTTCAACCTTTTCTTGTTCCATTGGCACTATCTGTGTTACAACATCAAAAATGTCCGTACTAGCATCAAATTTATCTTTATTACATTCTGTAGAATTTAGTTTTTGAGTTGCACCAATAAAAACATCATCATCACCAATCCCTTCATCTTCAGTCGAGGCATCATGCTGATTTGGAGCATCATGAATTCCCAGAGGACCCTCCAAAAGATTCAATGTTTTTTGTTTTGAGCTGTTTCCAGTTGGTGACAAAAAAATATTATCTTGTTGAGTTACTTTTTGAGTTGGGGAGTCATAAATATCCTCATCATCTTCAAAAACATGTTCTTCTTTTTTGGATTTCTTTCGAGCTGATTTTCTGATTGGTGCCAGAAAACTATCATCTTCTTGAGCCACTTTTTGAGTGGGAGCATCGTAAAAATCTTCATCAGCTGTCAGATTATGTTTCTTCTTGATGTTACTTTGAGACGCCACAATTTTTTGTGTTGGAGCTGCAAAGAAGTCTGAGTCATCCAAATTGGTATTTTTACTTTCTGAATGTCGAATTTTGTATTTTCTAGCTGATGGAATTTCAATTTTTTGGGTTGGACCGACAAAACAGTCTGTTTCATCCAAATTTTCACTTTCAAAATTCTTCCTGGTGAATGAAATTCCAACTTGTTGGGTTGGGCCTAGAAAATCTAGATCATCCAAATTAGTATCTTTGCTTCCACAAGGTTGAATCTCTGGAGTGACAGCTTCAGAAAACTCATTTAAATTTGTTTTGATTCCAGGAGCATCAGTACTCTGATTTGAAGAATTGAAAATATCTTGAACACTTTCATTTCTAGTGGATTTCTGTAAGGCTCCACTATAATCTGATATATCTAATTTGAAACTTTCTTCACAAGAAACTCTAGTAGCTTTTTTGGATCCAAAAGAATTTGCATTGATTTGCGGAGTGCTTGGCACCAAATCGCTTCCATTCAGCATTTGATATTGAGTAGCTGGAATTTCGTCGTCAGCGTCCACATTGATTGTGGACTTTTTCATTTGATTTTCCAAGTAACTGTCATCTTGGGCCATGAGTGATATTTCCTTTCTGTTTGGATTAAGTGTTGGAACAGAGTCATCATCAGAATCCTGATTTTCTGAGACAATGGTGGATTTGTCATTTTTTTGGTTCTCTTGGATATTACCTGACTTGCCAGTGTTTTGGTTGTCTGCAAGAATACTTGGTCTATTTGATGCTGTTGGGTCTACTGGAGTTTCAAATCCTAAAAATACACTACTTTCATCACTGCCACTTGACTTGCTAACTTGGTCAACTTTGAAAAACTCCATAGACTCGTTACTGTCATCAGAGTTAATTCCTGCATTTTTTTCAGCAATTGTCACTTTTTTAGTTTGAGGGAGGAGTACTTTTCGTTTTTTATTTGTTAGCTGAGCTTTATCACTTTCTTCACAATCTGTCATTTCATCATCATCAGATTTGGGCTTATTGTTTTTTGGTGCCTCTTCATCACAATCTGTCATTACATCATCATCATCTTCAGCAGGTTTCTTTTCCATTATAGCAATTTTTCCATGGTCACTGAATAATGCATCTTCTTCGCAATCAGTAAGCTCATCATCCCCGGCATCAGTAGTTTTTTCTTTTGCAGTTCCAACATTGACCAATGTTCCACAGCCACTTGTAGATGTTGTAGCTTGCTCCTTATCTTCTTCACAATCTGTTAATTCTTCATCATCATTTTGGGCAGATTTGTCTTCTATTTTATCAATTTTTCCATGGTTACTGGATAAAGCATCTTCTTTACAATCTGTCAGCTCATCATCTCTGGCATCAGTTACTATTTCTTTTGCAGTTTCAGCATTAGACAATATTCCACAGCCACTTGTAGATGTTGTAGCTTGCTCTTTATCTTCTTCACAATCTGTGAATTCATTAGACTCTTTATCTTTTGTTGTTTTAGCATAATCCAATTTTTCACAGTCGCCTGTTGATGCAGAATCATTTTCACAAACTGTAATTCCATTGGGTATTTGCATCTCTGTCGATTGACCTTTGTCTTCTTCTAAATCTACTTTGTTGTCATCTATTTCTTCTTGTACTGTTTCAAGATTATCAATCTTTTGAGGTTTACTTGTAGATGCTGTCATATTACCATTAATATTAACACTTTTATTTATTGTTTCATTAATATCTGACTTTTGACACTTATTTCGCATTGATTGTCTTATATCAAAAACTTGAGTTGGTTCTTCAAAAAATGACATTCTATCTTGGACTGTTTTATCATCATCTGTCTCTTGATTATCACTTGATGCGGCATGATTAATGGAAATTTTAGTTGCAGATTCATCATTCTTTATTTTTATATTAGTCCAAGAAATTTCTTGAGTAGGAACTTCATGTATATCTTCCACAAAATTGTCCAATGGTTGTGTGTTGGATCCGTAAAATGTCTGACTGGCAAGGGTGGTTGAGTGTGAAGGTTTGCTTCCTTCAAAAAATGCAGCCTAAAATCAATTAAACATAATTAAAACATTTAACAGATGCGGTTTTTTTTTTACTTACATTAGTAACGTAAATTCCACTCAATCCTCCTAAAGTGATTTCAATGCGGTTTCTCAATTTGTACAGCTTGTAAGGTTCCATTTTTGTGCCTTCACAGAAACAATGATTACTGGAGTTCAAATCACTGATGTAATGCTCTCCTTCGAGTACTACAATAATTGCATGATGCTGACTTATGTTCTAAAAAAAAAAGGTATGAAACTAATGGAATATTTGTGTTATTCAAAATGTTACCATATTCCTAATATTGACAGTAGCATCTCGGTTGCGGCCTATTGTGTTTACACCTTCATATATTGAGAAGTTTCCAGAGCCAAGGCGTAGTTGGGCAACCTGAAGAAATAGGATAATAAATCAAATGCTACTACTTCCTATTTTTTAATGAATTTGGGTATCAAACATTACTAAAGTTTAGCTTAGACGTAGTTGACTGAAGTAGAAGTCGGTGAAACAAAATTTTCTTCAGTTCTTTAGTGAATTTATTCAATTTAAACGTTATTACTAACCTGTGATTGATTTTTTCTAGCCATGCTTGTTTTTTTATGTATGATATTCAGTTAATTGGAAGTTTTTTCACTTTTTCATATTTTGTTTGTTGTTTACTAAGGCCTGCGTCGTCACTAGTCCTCCCATTCATCCCTTGCGTTCGATATTTTGCTCGAAGAGCAGAGCGTGCAGAGCGGATGTAATCACGTGACCAGCGAGCGCACAGAGCAGTTGAACGCTGTATCAGAAGGCTCGAAATTTTAATAATCGAACGTGGATGAGCCTGTACCGAGTACACTTTTTAAATAAACGAACGGCAAATTTATGCTCGGAGAACTCAGATCAAAATACCGAACGCACGGATCATTCCACTGGTTGGAGCTGACAGAAGACGGGCCATTTGATTTTGATTTGACGTTGACATTAAAAACCGTTAAAACCATTGACATCTACCGGTAAATAGTTGTATTCCTTTCGCAACTAGGATTTGCTCCAAAAAATGTTTGTTGCACTACGCATGTGTTTCCTGCAAATCGGGGGCGCGACTAAACACCGAAGCGAGTAGCTCGAGTGTTTCAAACTCTTGAAAGAAATACAACTATTCGCTGTGGTATTGACCAATTTGATTCAAACAGTTTGATCATTCGTGGTCATATACGCAAGATACATAAGATCTGTTTCTGCAAAAATCACAAACCAGTCAGAGCGAATTTTATTGGTTGAAAACAGTCAGAAAACTAGTTTCAACCAATGAAATTCATTCTGACTGGTTTGTGATTTCTGCAGAAACAGACTTATAAACTCTAGCTTCGTATAGACTTGAACAATACGCTGAACAACAAATAGAACAACGAACCGAACGACACTCGAAACAAACACTAATTTGGACAAGGCTACAAACGAACGCTTTTGCAAAGCGGTTCGCAAATCCGAAGCTTATCAGCAGCTAATAGTGATGACGTCATCCGCAGACCTCGATGCATTGTTTGTGATTTACGCTGTGCTTGTCTTGTGAGTGGGTGTAAAACGCATTGACGTTTTTTGCCTTAAGCTGGGTTCGGCTATTCAGCGCGGAGTTGGAGTGAAGTGAACAGAGCTAATGGAGTCACCCCTAATACGGTAAAAAGCAATACCCAAACCTTAACCCGAACGGCTGGAGTGCGAATGGAGTGAGCAAGCCGAACCCACCTTTAGTAAGCGAATATTCACAATTTTATTTAAAAAAAAACCTTCTTCCCATTCTTCCATCACACCGCGGCGCAATAATAAGAATAGAGACTTGTTATTGCACCGCCGCGTAGTAAGGCTGCGCAATAATGACTGACAATCCAACCATCCAGCCTGGCAGAAGAAAACAATATGGCGGCAAAAGAAAGGCAAAATTTTTTTTTTAATTTAAATTATTTTTAAGTCCAGAATGGTTCCGCTCGCTAAATCTCAAAGAGAAAATCCTTATTAGAGACGTTGATCTACCAAAAACGTAAAAAATCTTTTGGATTTGGTAACTTATAGGTCTCAATAAAAACGGCATTTTTTGTTTTTGTTTTTTGAGAAAGATTCCTTCAAATAGAAACATGTAAGCTATAAAAAAATCCGGAAAATTATGTAATGTGTGGTAGTCCTTGTATGTGAATATTGAATTTAAAAAACAAGCGCGCTTTGTTGTCAACCGCAGTACATTTATACCAGTTTTAAACGAACTGTAATGAAACAGGAATCCACCAAAAGGTAAATAAAATCCTTATGGCGCTAATTTCACTGTTTGACCTAGGCCGCCATATTGATAGGCTGCCCTATTAAAACCCGACACTTCGCACCTTAAAATAGAACCAATTTAATTCATATATTTGTCTTGAAAAATTAATATAATCCGCATATATTTATATTGAAATCGGTCCAAGAAGGCTAACTTCAACATTAGAAATGCAGCTCATAAGAAACTACGTGTTGCACTAAAGCGTTTCACCACCCCGCACGCAACGGCGTAAGTGCGGAAAAGATACTTTACGCTCGTGTTAGGTACAACATTTTTCCTACGAGCGTGCGGAAATTGACATATTGTTTTTTTGTTTGTTTTTGGCTCTACTGTTAAGAGAAATGGTCAGAAATATGATTTTTTAATTAGGTTTAGTTACAGAAAAAACGGTGGAGGGATTTCAAAAAGATCTAAAATTTTTGAGAAGCATGACATAAATTAAATAAAAATCAGTACGTGAAAAACTTTTCTTAAGCACAGCGTGCATGAAAAACTTTTTTCGCGCACGCCGTGCGGTAATAACTTTTTCACGCACGCAGTGTGGAAAAGTGGTACTTTCCGCACGCAAACCAGTGCGTGAAAACGCGTTTTCCGCACGCTCGAAGGAAAAGGTGATTTCAACGTTTAAGAATTCGTTTTTTGACCTATAGTGTGTAAACTCGAATAATGGCATTTACCAAAAGTTGAGGTCTGCGGCTGACGTCACAAATAGTGGAGTGTTATCGCATGGACATGGTAGACACTTCCAGCTCAATGAGCATTCCTATTTGGTTAGTGTTCTTCGTCCCAGGGGTGCGATTCTCGAAACCATTCGAGTACATTTCGTACACGAAATTTTACTGACAGCAATGTAAATTAAATGGGGAGCATCCGAGATCGTATCAAATTTCGTATGCGAAAATATTCAAGGACCCCGGGTCGTATTTTCGAATTCATTCGAGTACATTTCGTATACGAAATTTGATTGACAGCAATGTAAATCAAATGGGGAGTATTCGAAATCGAATCAAATTTCGTATGCGAGAATATTCGAAAATACGACCCCAGATCTGAAAGCATTGAAAAAAACCGTTCGTTTTCAAGTGGCATTTTCAGTGACGTCATTACTTAAGATACCGCTACTAGCCGTTTTGTAACCCGGTTAGTTTATACTGGAGCGACGCGACATGAAAAATTCTAATAACTTAAAATGTTTTTGGAAAATAAACCTCAATGCGGTTGGAGTTTGGCTGACGTCACACTCTTGGCGTAAAATGCATTATCCAAGTTTAAGACACTGTAACGGGTTTTCCTAGGTTTTTCCTTAAGCTATAGTAGCTTAACGGTCGGTATTTATCTTTCGGTTAATCCAGCGGTAATCTCGGGCGCCACCCTCAGGATTAAAGTGGTTGAGGGCCCACTAGCACCAGGTAGCTTGTTACAGTGGAGAAAGAAAAACCAGGGGTCAATGCTCAGACAAAGGAATAAAACAATTATGGGTAGATAATCAACAAATAAACTATTTATTACTCATTGTGTAATAACAAAGGAAAAGAATAATGAAAACTCAAATATGTTGGATAATACCTTAACCAAATTGTCCCTAAATTATAACAGCTCCTCATAGAGCAAAGTGTACGGGTAAAAGAGAGAGAGAGAGAGTGGTCGTGTGTGCGGTCGATTACGGTACGGATATCAGCGTAAAAGCGGAAAGCGGTAAATATACAGTTACGGTAAAAAGCCGGCGGTTGTGCGGTTACGGTAAAAAACTGCGAAGCGGAAATAAGCTCTCTATGTTCAGAACCAGGCCCCGAAAGCTTCTCGCGACAAATTCGGAATCGCGTGTGTCAGTGGGGTAGAAAGTATAACTGATCTATGTCCGTACGTTCAGCCAGGACATAAGGAATGCGAATCTCCTGCCGGACTTGTCTGTTCGTACAGCCGAGACTTGTCCTGATCAGTCTACCCACTATCCAACTCTTTTCAGTACGGTGCGCGGTGTTTCGGAGCCAGAACGGAACGGTGCAAATGTAAACAATAAACCCAGCATCGGCCTTTAATGCATTTAGTACATTTTCGGAAGAATGGTAGGATACACAGCTGGTCTATGTCAGTACATTCAGCCGAGACATAAGAATTACCTGATGAAAGTGGTAGTCCTGCTGGATTTGTCCGTTCGTGCAGCCAGGACTTATCCTGACCAGTGTATATACTAACCCACTCCTTTCGCGGGTTTTAGCAGGGTAGAAGATATAATTGATCTATGCCCGTGCGTTCAACCAGGACATAAGGAATGTGAATATCCTGCCGGACTTGTCTGTACGTACAGCCGTGACTTGTCCTGATCAGTCTACCTCCCACCCTACTCCTTTAGGAGCGGACGCGGGACATCACGGACCTAGGCTGGGATGCGTAGGGTGCTAGAATTACCTTTTATCCGGACGGCGGTCGGGCGGTGTGTGCGGCCGTCTAGCAGGCGGTCGGTCGGTGTACGGAGGAGATCTCAGAATGCTCTCCAGCAGGCGGTAGGTGTCGGTCGGAGGAGATCGCGGAATGACCTCCCTGACTGGAGGCCGCGCTGGGGAATTTATAGTCGGCAGATCGGCGCGCGTTTCGGTAGGCAATAGTGGGAGACGCGGTGGGGCGCGCGCTTAATGCCGGTTTACATTTTGCGGACTATTTCGGAGACGCGTACACATTTTATAAATATTATAATATCCAAATAATTAAATCAAACTAAATTAAATACTTACGTGGACCCTGTAATTATAAAATAATGAAAAACAATAGTAACATCGTTACACACCCCTCTCTCTTTACAAAAAAAAATAATTATGTAAATATATATTTATTTTTTTTCCTAAAACCTAAGTTGAACATATCCCTAGAGTGTAGTACTTGGAAGATGGTCGGGGTTTCCGTCGGGCAATCAACCGACGTAGGCAACCACAATAGCGGCATGGTTGATATTGAACGTTATGACGGCAGCATTGTACTCCGACAGACACCAAACGCGGTCTGCGTGATGAGGTCCCTACTTCCTTGCCGGTATTGTGGGACCGTGACTCCCTGGCGGGCCTTGGCCGCTTGGTACCTCGGGAGCAGTCGCAATCGCGGGAAAGTAATCCTACCTTCCCGCACTGGGATTACTGGGAACAAAACTGAACAGGTTTCCGGCTGCAATCATCCCGGTGGTGCCCAGGATAGCCGCATCGCCAGCAAAGGTCCAGGTGCACTGGCAGAAAAATAGGCGGATTGGAATGCGAACGGATCTCACTCGGTGGTAAGTTAGCCACGGAGGTAGAAGCGGTCGGCGTTGAAGCGGTCGGCTTTGTATCACTAGCTAGTTCAGGAGCATGGGATGGCTCCACTGGTTCGGTAGTACTGGACCCTGGGGCGAGTTCAGTGA